GTGCATTTCATACTGTTTGTAGTTGTCATACAAGAGAGATTTGTAGTTGAAGATGGTTGATTTTGTCGGGCTAAGAAAAAGTGAATTTTGGAAGAAAAAGTTTCGCAGAGCATTTGAAGCACGTGATGCTGACAAGAATGGTTCTATAACCAGAAGTGATTTTGAATTAGTAGTCGAACGCTACAAGAAGAGTGCTGGTGGTACAACAGACAAAATCGAAAAACTGTCTAAAGCAATGTCGTCTTTCTGCGATAAAATTGGGCTTGGTGATAGCGTTGCGTTAAGCTATGAGGAATTGGAACAAAGTTGGCAGGCTGCGATGGCACAAGATCAATATGATGCTCATTATAAGGTGTTCAAGAATTTGTTTGTGTGTCTTGATGCCAATGGCGATAATATGATCGACATCAATGAATGGAAAATGCATAATGCTGCTATAGGTGTACCACCCGGACATGCTCAGGATTCTTTTAATGCCATGGACAAAGATGGGGATGGAAAGATAACAATGGATGAATTTGTCAATTATCATGTCGAATTTTTTCACACCACCGAGAATAAACTGAACAGTGCTATTCTGTTTGGTCCTCTTTAGATGAACTCTTACCTACATGTTGTACAACTTCATGTCTTGTAATTAGTTACATACAAGTTGCACTCCATGTGTTTGTAAGATAGTCCATTCTTTAATGTTGCTCTAGCTAAGGGTCATCTATAGCCACTTCCGCTGCTTCGCTGGCCAGCGCAACGGTGCATTATATACTGCATCGAGCGATAATCATCACGACGGCGTGTGGCCGACAACGTTTCGCTCGCCAATTAACCGTGTTCTTCTCGCTTAGCTATAGATCTCGACGCCCATTCAGCAGTTTAATGGTCAGGAAAGTTGGCTATTACATCAGGCACCCTAATTAGTTCAGAGCAGGACTTGCATAACGTGGCAACTCATATGCTATAAGTTTGGGAGCGCTGCGCATGGTGCTTAGGGTTAACAACAAATAGCCAAAGGCAATACATTATAAATGGAGACACATGTGTTAGTGTAACTCATAAAGGCTAAGAGGTATGCGAATGAAAGTTTGTACAAGTGGAAAAGTCATTTCTATGAAATGAAGAAGGATATAGGGATGTCAAGTCATTGAAAACAAGAAGAAGATGTGCATGTATTGCACTTAGTTACAAGTTGTACTCCATGTGTTTGTAGAATAGCCCATTCCGTAATGTTGCTAACTAACTATAGCTACTTTTGCTGCTGTGCTGGCCAGCTTGACACTGCAACGCATCGAGCGATTATTGCGCGTGCATCACGACGACGGCATGTGCATCCGTTTCAGATGACAACGCTTCACTCGCCAATTATCCACGGTAACTGCGTGTTTATCGTCAAGTTATATATAGACCTCGACGCCCATTCAGCAGTTTAATTAACTTTCGAACGCAGCATTTTTGCCGAAATCGCTATTTTAAAAATAAAGTCAGTGTGGCACTGAACCCGTTGGTATCGCTTTTTGGGCGTCTTGTTGCGCGTAGCGGGATAAAACGTGGTAACAGACAGACGGACAAACGGACGGAATGACAAACCAAGTATAATTACACCCTCGCTGCGCATGCGCGCCGAGGGTTAATCATGTCGGCAGGCAAGGGGTTGGTTGAAGTCCTACAGTCAATATCTCTCAGTGGAATATGTAAAATGTAGGGATGGTGTAGCTACAGTGGGAGGGAGGTCAAGAGTACAGCAAAACAATTGTTGATGGATATGGTGCTGGGGCTTATAGCTAACACTCAATGTACATTGAGGCTCTGTTAGCAAACACGTGCAGTAAACAACCCTGTCCCAAAAGGTGGACAGAATTGAAAGTTGCTGTCAAAGGTAAACTGTCCACGCATGATACACACAGTATGTAGGTCAGGTGTTTGCTGCAGCAAACATAGTTAGCTAGCTAACTGCCTACGTATATGCACGCTACTTTATCTCCCCAAGTGACATTCAAGCTCTTTGAGAGTATAGCACAGTGCAGTGGTTGGCATTGCTTTGTATTGCAGATTTTAACCCCTATCTGCTGATTCACCTTGGTACGTAGCTCGGTTGCTCGCCTTGAGTGTCATTAGTCAGAATCTCACCTAAGGCAGCTCGTTTCTTCCTTGGAAGAGTTTCCTAGAAGAGATTTCTAGGTGTAGTTGTGTTGTTTGGTTTGCCTTTGACACATGCATAAAGGGAATGTGATAAGCTAATTAACCCTCGGCGCGCATGCGCAGCGAGGGTTACAGTGGTTGGGTTTGTCTGTCTGTCTGTCTCTCTGTCTGTTTGTCTGTTACTCTCAATCTCACTTCTCGGGTGTCTGTTCGTCCCAGAAACGATACCATCTACCCAACAGGCGACGAAGGTCAGAAAATAAAGGCGGTTTTCTCTGAAAATGCTCCGTTGCAGAGCTAGAGCGCTTCCACCATTGTACGGCTAATGCGTAGTCGGCCATTTTTATCGCTGCGGAAAATGCGCATGCGCTTATATCCTCGACCGGGTCCGCTTACTCTGTGTATCTTGAAGGCACAAGAAGTCACAACGAAGGGCGTGTATCGACTCTCGCATACTATCTACTACTGTAGCTAGCCCGTGTCAGACTCTCTGCGAGCTACTAGCGGGAGACCACGAGTAAACGCATACTAATAGCAGCCCAGCCCATCAATTAGCGGTACCGCGCGTCCCCAGTTCGCCGAGGGTTTGCACTTTAGTGCTTTTCATTTCGTAAGTGTGTCTGTCAGTCTGTCTGTTACCACGTTTTCTGCCACCGCGCGCACGAAATCAGGTAAATAGCGATATGATCGGGTTCAGTGCTACACTGGGTTGATTTTTAAAAAAAGGCGATTTTCGTAAAATTACTGCGTTCTAAAGTTATGGCGTGAAAACCAAGTGAACAAGCCAATATGGTAATTAGCACAGGCTTACCTCAGGCTTACCTCGACCGCTTCCGCTCGCTCTGTGTATCTTGAAGGCACAAGAAGTCACAACGAAGGGCATGTATCAACTCCCGCATGCAATCTACTACTGTAGCTAGCCCGTGCCAGACTCTCCGCGAGCTACTAGCGGGATACAACGAGTAAACAAAAGAAAAGCCCAGCCCATCAATTAGTGGTACCGCGCATGCGCAGTTCGCCGAGGGTTTGGACTTTAGTTTAGAAAGTGTTACTAAAAGCGGAAACTTATTTGCATTCTTGCACTGGGCCTTTTCTATATTCTCTAGACCCTATCTTAGACTGGGATTGTTGAATGTGTTGCTCACAGGATATGTGATATAATGACAGCATCATGATAGTGATCTACAATTTGACCAACATTTTAGACAAAGAAAATATAGTACAGATGTTTAATATTTCCTCCATGATCTTCTTATGACAACAAATACTAACGCCAATAGGTAGAGATTTGGTATAGAGAATGATATTATATTAAAAATGTAACACTTAAATATTCAATTTGTTGAATGAAAAGCACAATGTCCCCCAAAAAGCACCAAGGAGAGCAGTTAACATTGCAATTACTGTATAATCATAAGTATACCTTCAGAAGGGCTTAAAAAATAAGATGGATACTAAGGTAAAGAACAATGCAGATACTAGTTATAGGTACAAACGAAAGTGACTGAGTTAAAATGAAAGTCAAAAATATGAAGGATAAACCCAGAAAAATAGCGATAGTCCTTTGTTCCGTTTGTTCCATTTTTATAGTGTCCTTGAAAAACATCCATAAACGTACGTAGAGTTGGTGAGTTCCACCCAATCTTATTCAGGATGTTTTGGAAACACGAGCAAGGATACATGAATAATAATATATAGAACCAGTGGAATAATGAAAAAACACATTGCTATATACAACAACAGCAAGAACTGCAAAAGGAAAATGATCCTTTCCGAAATAATATTCCATTGATGGATCAATAATAACACGATATGATTTATTCAGCATAGTTTTCTTCTTGCCTATTGCATATGTATACACGGTGGAGGGGACAAGGAAACAAGTGGAAAAATCATTTCTTCAAAATGAAAGGGGGGTATAGGGATGGCTTGAAGCACCAAAAAGGAAGAAACAAGGGGTCATTACACAGCAAAGTTGCACAAAGCTACATGACACCATCCCTATATCTTTGTTTTATTGTTTATAAGCAAAGTTTAATATCGAACAAAGATATAGGGATGGTGGCATGCAGCTTTGTGCAACTTTGCTGTGTAGTGACCCCTTGTTTCTTCCTTTTTGGTGCTTCAAGCCATCCCTATATCCTCCTTTCATTTTGAAGAAATGATTTTTCCACTTGTTTCCACTATTTTTAACAGCTAATGACAACACTGCATTTACTCTGATGTTCATGGGTAGCTATGGGCATAGTGATTAGTAATAGGGATATTAATTTGAGTGCTCGCAGGTTGTTGTTGCTGGCGGCGGTTAGGCCAACTTTAGAGTATGGGGGTGAGGTGTGGGAAGCCAATAAGACTCAGGCAACTGCGTTAGAGTCCGTTATGCTGGGAGGAGCTAAGCGCATTCTTGGGTGTTCGTCTAAGACATGTAATGAAGCCGTTAGGGGGGATATGGGGCTTGATACATTACAAGGGCGTAGGGATAAGAATAAGTTGAAGTGGTGGTATAAGTTAGCGGCATTGTCAGGCAATAGGTATCCGAAGAAGCTTTTTAACCAGGAATGGAATTTTAAGCCACGGAGAGGCAGGCAGAGGAAGGGTTGGAGTAAGGTCATTGATGATCTCTTTTCGTCATTAGGTCTTGACAAGGCAGAGTGGTTGCATGATATCCAAAATGGGGATTGCTCCTTGAAGGGCTTTCTGTCTATAATAGGGGACAGTATTAATGAGAGGGAGATTAGAAAGTTTGAAGAGGGGCTAAATAGCAAAGTAAAGCTGTTATTGTATAAGACATTTAACAAGGTGGTAGAGTTCAAAAAGTACTTGCATGGGAAAAGTGATGCTGGGTTTAGGTTAATGTTTAAGTTCAGGTCAGGCACGCATGGGCTAAATGAGGAACTGGGTAGGCATAGGGGGAGGGAGGGGGTGAAGGAGTGCCTGTTGTGTGATGATGAGTGTGAAAGTGTGAGTCATGTGTTGTGGGAGTGTCCAGCATAATTATAGTAGTCTTAGGAGCAATTTCTTAGTTGCCCTGCAGGGGAAGCTTGGGGATGATGGGTTTGAGCATTTCCAGTCGCTTGATAGTTTCAAGAAAGCATCCTTTATGTTGGGTAGTGAACTGTGGGAGGATAAATTTGGTTCTTTGCTTGGCCTTGTTAAAGATTTTATTTTGGATGTTTGGGAGCTAAGAAAGGTTAGGTTATACGGCGATAGTCCCCGCGTACAACAAACCCAGTCTCAGATTGCATCTGGGGAGCTGCAGGGTGTCGCTGGTGGAAGGGGTGAGTTGAGGTGTCTGGGAGGTGAGACAGACACCTCGTGTTCATATGGTGTATGTTCGTTTGTTAACGGTTCCGCCCATTGCTCTGGGTGCGTGGTCTATGGCCCTAGTGCTATGGCAGCCACCTGAGTATTATTTGTACGCGGATCACGTGAGATTTCATCCGTGTCATCCCTATATAGAGAGTCTACCGACTCTCTAATACATGGAGGTTAGATAGAGTCGAGAACAAGAGAGGAAAATAAAAGAAGCAAACACTTCAATGAGTGACGTTTTTGCATTCCGTCTTAGTGGTTTAAGAATCTTTTGCAAGGCAATCCATGATTCATCCCCAAATAACTAGTCTGAAATTACGATCGTGAGCTTTGACAAGTAAGACGGTTACACCAATTAAACCAAATGGGAAAATGACCAGAGGAAACTCAAGTGCATTGATGGTTGCTGCAGATGCACCGGGATAGAGACAAACTGGTAATAGTGAAATCAAGATTCCAGAGCGATGCAAGAGCAGAGAATGCTAGGTAATACTGGCCGTTTAACGGATATGTCTTCAACATGAAGGGATTTGCAACGATCTGAAACATTGTCACCACCCCACTCAGTAACGGAGACGTAAAGTTGATAGAGAAAAGAGCCACAAACACATTATATAGAACAGAGTAAGAGGGAGATAAGCTGCTGCCAGATACCTTAGCCAGTTGTATAATATACTTGTAGTTTTCACATCTCACACATCCTTGTGTATATGAATACACAGGTAATCCCATTATCCTCAACACATTGACTGCAGAGATATCCACGTGCGTTTAACTCAGGAGGACAAGAGATGTTCTCTAGCTCAGCCACAGTGTAACAGTACACGGCAATGAATAATAAGACGCATACAAGTACTGGCACGTATGCAGGCAAAAACCAACTACAAGGTATTCACTTCCCTCTGTCATGCAGTGAGGCCGTCCGGAGCAAACCAGGGAGGACACTGAGACAGCCATGAATGAGGCAAAAATTTTGTAGGCGTTAGGATACTTCATACATACCCTGGGTTTAGCTGGGTTGGCTCGTCAATTAAATATTTTTTTACTGTCAAAAGTGCTGTTTTGTAAGTTTAAAAGCTGTTGACATAACTAGAGAAACTCACATGATAATTATACACACAGTCAACACACACATTCATTATAATTATACAATAATATATAGATTAAGGCATACAAAAACTAAAAGATCTATAATATTTTGATTGTGGTGTGTGTGTGTGTACGGAGTGAGAGTGCTGGAAGTGTCTATCGTTACAATAATGAGCTAGTGGTGTTGTTAGTATGTGAATTTCCTCTCAGACGTGACAGACATGGGGCTCTCTGCTGGCTCGCTGGATAAGCTGATCATTGAGTCTCGACGAGGGGGCATGCGCTCGTTTACCCTATCCAGTTTCCGGGCGTCGCTGAAGCTGTGGATCTTTGCCTTCAACTCTAGAATGGCTGCATGGGAGACAAAGTATGCATCAAACTTCACACCAGTGTTTACTAATCACATTCACTAAGAAACACAACTTGATCTGAAGCCCCCTGGGGTCTGGGAATGATGTCATTATGATCTCACCTGTTGAAAGTCCAGCCTTTCCCTCTGATAGGACACCAACTGGTAGCTGACCTGAGGGTGTTAGTCCCTTCAATGCCAGGACCTCTTCTCTCTCCCCTCTAGAGGTGTGTTGGCATTAAAAAAAAACATGCGTAAAACTAGTAAAATACTATATGTAGATGGCAAACATTTAAAATTTTGTGAGTGAACGCGAAAGCAGCAAAGAACGCACTTATGTATGTATGTAGATTACGGTAAGGGTGGCAAGTGGCAACGTTGCATAAGAAGCATGCACAAGTCAGCTCGCTTTGCTTGCAAACAAGACAAAACTTTAGTAAATACTACTTAACGTCATAGCACAACCACACTCTTTAGGTTGGATGATACGTATGTAAAATCCACAGTATATATACCAAAAAAAAAGACTTTCTGATGCACAAGGGTTTTGCACTTTCATAAGCCTTGTTACTTCATATAAGACTAAGTTTTGAGTCACGAAATTTGTTGTTGGTTACTCAATACACAGTATGCCATAGGAAAAACACTCATAAGATTAGTACGTGCGTGGCATACTGTTCATGTCTTACCTGAGAACAGCAAAGACTCGCGCCATCTTTCCAACAGCTCTGATCTTGTTTCTGATCACCTCCTTCCTCACGGCCAGACTTTTCGCCTCCTCTGCAACCCAGAATATGTACAATTGTCAAAACCATGGTATAGAATTAGCTAAGTATGCATAACCACGTTTACATCGGAAACACCATGAACTAAGGTGTGCTAACAGACTCTTCTGCCATATGTATACACTGCACATGAGACAAAAAGCAGTGTACCTGTATACATTATATGTACCTGATCCAGGCTTAATGAGGTCGTCCCCTTCATCACGAAGGTCGTCATCTTTCAGACTAAGAACATTCACTAGCATCTCCGTCACTGCAGATACACAATATAGATGTCCACTCACAAAGAAATTAAAATCCAACCAATCACAACTGAGATCCTATGACTACCAGGAGTGCACAGAACTCTAAATACCACACTCTGCTACTATTTCACTTGTTAAGCTCTCAGTAAAGAAACCATCTTTGCGTTTTTTTTGCATGACAAGAGATATAAAGTCGCACTAGCAGGTTCCCTCTTTGCAGGGGTTTTACTACAAAGGCAGGAAGCAATAATTGAAGGAATGGAGAGGAGGGTACTCGTGTTCTACTCCCTCTTGTTAACCCTTTGGACGCCATAGGTGCATGTGCATAATATATATGTAAATTGCGCCCAAAGGGTTAAACTACCCTGACTCGAGGCGACCCATTGCCAACTGTACAAGAAAGCACCTTCCTTGCGGTTTCATACATAAACGATGAGAGAAATAAGCAGGGTCCCTCCCCCATTGCATAATTTTAACTACACAAGGCAAGAAGCAATTGAAGAGGTGGATAAAAAGTTGAAATCCTGTCTAAGAGGTGACTAATTGTGGTGAACATGATGTGTCAAGACACAGATGGTGTGCATCACTGTCCTACAGACTCAGCCACTCCCCATGGTCTTGGTCATTATCTAGCAGCACATACAATCCACCTGCCTCACTGACAATCACACAGGCACATGGTCAGAGGAGCTGCAGCAACCTATATACATCCTTTATTTCTAACCATTTAACTTAGCAGTGATGGAGGCCTATATACTTACCATAAAACGGATTTTTTATCTTGGAAAATACTCATTCTTTTAAATACGAAACAAGTACTTTACTCTGTGAGTGTGTTCGAAAGAATGCTATATAATATGAGAACGACTATTAGGCTGTGAAAATTTGTTTTACCTGGAACGGAAATTTAAACCCACCATACGGTATATAGTACTGTTTTCCCCACGCAACACTATACATTCTGCTAGTACACTCAGAGGTTGCAGTGATCAGGCTGATGGCTGACATTACGAGGAACTCTGTTAGTAATTGACGTCAACCAATCTGGAATTCTATAACAAAGTTTGCTCACAACAAGCAAATTCCATTCATACTCAATTCCATCAGTAATTATCCATGCAAGCACTTGCTTATATAACTTATGACATATGTATGTATATACAGTACTGTATACAAAGTATCAAACCTTTCTCTCCTACAAAGGGCAGGGACCAGGTGAAGACGTCCATGAAGTTGGGCAGCCAGTATGGATGCTCCACTGCGTTGAACTGGCGGATGTTCATCACATTGTTCTCATACTTGAGTACCGCCGCTACACAGAGATAGACCACCCCACATTATATGTACAGTGCATCATGGGAAGAGGAAGGTATATAGCATAGGGTGGGGTTGGGAACAGTAGGGTAGGATGGAGGTTAAGGTAAGAGATGCAGAGTAGGGTGGTTTTAGAGGGGTTACTACTTAGGTATTATACGATAGATGTGTTGATGTTTTTTGACTCATACTGTACTATATATATATGAGCTACAGTAGCTCCTACTGCAGTGAGTTTCATTCTCTTAACGTTTACGACAGATGAACTACACAGTGCATCTGTCGGTAAAAGTAACCTGCTTAATAATTATTCTCAGACAACTTCAATGAACCCACTACGTATTTAGATACACACACATTATAACTGTTGAATGAGCCAAGCAGTGTGTATATTCGAACTTATTCACGTCATTGAGAGTGCATGCATAAAACTGTTGCCACAGTGTAGCATTCACAACACAAGAATATCTACATAATCTTGTGTGCACAGCACACAGTATATACTAGAACTACGATCTTGAGATGTAAACGCCGCTCAAAAGTCCGTGACGACTGTACTGTTTATGAATGTAGCAGGTGTTTACAACCCCCGGCCAGTGGGTGTGGCCAGCGGGGGGCGAAAGGTCCTGCAAGTGTTCAATGTTCCTCCACTAACACTAGCCCTCCGCTGACTCCCTGGCAGCTATTAGCCACAGGACAACAGAGAGCTCACTCACTCAGTCAGTAGTGGAGGTAAACCCATACTCCTTACGACAATACACACTAGCACAGAGTTTCAAAATGTACATGCATGCGCACATAATATGTACATGATGTGTAGCTCAGTTAGTAGAGCACTCGCCTAGACTGCAGAGTGTCGTGGGTTTGAATCCCACCCAGGGCAGCTCTTCTTTCCTTTGAAAAGAAAGAGCTGTCCTGGGTGTAGTTGACTTGTTTGCCTTGCCTTGCCTTTCTACCTCGTTACCAAGTTGTAATTGAGACATGTATGTATGCTGTACATTGTAAACATGATGTGCTACAACACATGCGCACGTCTGTCTTTGTTGTGTGTTGCACACCCTGTACTGTACACCTTCAGCCATGTCTCCTGAGCTCTGCCGGCTCAGTAAAAGTGCTTTGCCTGCTGGAGCAAAAGGCGTAATAAAGCAAACCAAGATAACGCTGGGTTTGAACTTCACCCACGACATTCCGCTCTCAAACTGATCACAGAAGATGCGGCTAGGGTCTACAGTGCAACAAAGGCAATGAGACACATGCATGTGGTGTATTGTAGCACGTTATGTTTACATACAACATACACATGTACACACAGATCTTTAGCAAGGTTATGTGTGCATCAGACGTGTTTAGCAAACACACTATCTGTACTGAGGACATGCAAATTACTCAAATTACTCGCAGTATGCATGTAGCACTGTACAATAAACTTGACCACTGACTTTCAGGAAGTGTAACCCGACTCTGTAGGCAAATCCCCATGAATATTATTGAGACACTAACATAGCAGGATGCACAAGCACCTGCAGCGGAGTATTCACTGAATCAGGGCTCCAGCTAGACAGAGGACCTCAAATTACGTACACACAATATGCCCGAGACCCCTTCCATTTGAGTTTCTAGAGAGAGTCTGACAGACCCCCAAGAGCACGAGGAACAACTAAAGCAAACAGTGTGAGAATCAGCAATAAAGTATATTTGCCACTGAATTGCGCCATCAGACTACAGTACTGACCCCCTCAAAGGTTTCTCCAGACCAGCTGGCACAGTTTTTTAAGGCCTTGGAGAACTTTTGTTATCCTAATTAGAGCCCTGCTGCATGCATACCTTTGTTCCCATAGACGTCGAGGTAGTTGGGTGCGGAGAAGATGGTGATGAGGGAGGGGAAACCGGTGGCATGGCTCTTGCGGTACATCTTGTAGCCCGCGTCCTGGGCCTCGTGAGCCCTGATGATGGACAGCATGTTGTTCCTCTGAAGGAACTCGCAGCAGGCATTGTAGCTGTGGACAGGCAGCGGAGAATCACCTCAGAGTTTACTACTAACTACAGTACCGGCTACACTACCATATTCTGCAATGGCTCGATCGTCATTGACTATTAGAAGAGGCAGTCTGTGTATAATTCTTGGCTACGAAATATACTGTATAGCCCACAGTGGGCAGAAACACACTACTACACATTGCTCACAGCAGTTGTGGACGCAGTAGAGGGGTTAGTAGCATTTGTTAAGTATTAAGTACCTGTAATAGTAGGAGCATCCCCGGACGGAGTTGTGGCTGTAGTTCTCCTGAGTTGGTTTCTCAGTGCCAAAGTCCTCCAGAGGGTCAGACCAGAGGAGGTCGCACATGGGACCAAACGCTGGCGGCTCCTTGAACCTGTCCAACTGTATGCAGGACAGAGAGAGGGTATGTATTAATGTTAGGAGAAGGTATATACACAGTACACTGGACATGCATTAAAGACACTTAGTTGACCGTATGTTGTATTTTGTGTTGACAGAAAAGCCTAAGTGTTGAGTTGTGGTTGGTTACCCAATGCATAGTAAGCCACAAGAAAACCAGGTTATGAACGTGGGCGTAGGAGCTAAGAACAAAGGAAAATGCTGACCAGCACATTTCATAACTTAGTCTTAAATGAAGAACCTATCCCTGCCAATAAACACATGGCCTTGTACAATAATGCTTACTGCTGAAAACCACACTCAGTAAAAAAACATTGTGTGAAAAATGAGTTTCAGTGAAAGGGGAGAATGAGAACTGAGCGAAGAGATGAAAAAAGAGAAATGGTGTATATACAATAGGAAAGAGAGTGTGTGAGAGCAACAGGGTAAAGGGAGAGGAAAAGGAGAGTGAAACAAGAGGTGAGGAGAGAGAGAGCTCACGTTCTTGATGTCCTCCAGACCGAAGACCTCGGGGGAGAGACCACCGTGGACACAGAGGAACTGCTGGTTCATGATGGCCGCCAGTGGGAGGCAGTCAAATGAGTCCATACACGTATCATACACAGTCTCAGAGTACTTGATCTTACCTGCAAAACCAACGGGACACAGTCAGTACATAATACGAACCTTCAGAGCATCACACACCAATATCACATCACATATTCAGTACTTAAACGCTTTTACTCTGGGCAGTACAATTTTAATTGCTGAGATGTGTACAACATACATGTTATGCATACATTGGCACAGCAGTGTCGTTCAATAGCACAAATAAAACAGTGATGAATTAATGAAGCAATCTTACTCATACTACCCCCCTCAGATTGAACAACAGGAAAGAGGATTTGTTTCAACTACACACACGCACTGCTGGCTGCCAAATTACTACATAGTTTACCAGGCATAACTACAACTAATATATGTACTGTGTGTCACAGGTACTATTGCCCTAAAGCCAATGCAGCCCTAAACTTGTACAGCTCTATCTGTTTCTCTCTATGCTGTAGACTTCCCATAGTGGTAGCTGATCCCCAGAGAAAAGCTAAGAAGATTGGCAATCCTAAGAAGTGGAACTAGTAGTACGTATATATGGCAAGTCAACTCAAAGGCTGCTATAGCAGAAAGCATAAACCTTGAGGTGAGTTTATTATGGGGGCAGGGTGGTGCTTTCCCCCTTTGAAAAAATCTTGCCCCACCTTGAGTGCTAGTGAACCTTTTAATGCACACAAAAACAGTCTCTCCTCTTTTTTGTGTTAATGTTCTCTTTGCCCTTGGATGACAACTGAGGCCTGCCTGAAGCATAAATGTAGAGAGGAAATATCACACCACCTGCACAACTGTAGCCTGCGTATGTAGGAGGGCTAACTATTATCGGCCTATTATAGAAAGGAGTGAGGAATTCCTCAACAGTGTTTGGCTGGACCTGATGAATGCAGTCGCGAGGTGCGAAACATATACACACAACGCCAGGGCTATCAAAGAGAACAGTTTTAAGGGCCCACCAATCCCCTCCGCCCCTACGACATCTGTGGACCTGATGAATGCAGTCGTGTGGTGCGAAACGCAGATACATACACTACACACACTACACCACACACCAGGGCTATAAAAGAAAGGGCCCACCAATCCCTTGTGTACGACATCTGTGGGGAGCAAGAAATAATAACTGTTGGGTGTGTGAGAAGTGTGTGTGTGTGTGTGTGACCTTTCAGCGGCGGAGGGACATTCCGTGCATAAATCAACCGTTGCACAGTGCAAACAAACGGTCATTTCCCCAAAATTAGGGTTTAGTAAACAAAAGACAGAAAAAACAATAGTTATAAGAGAAGAGGCTTAGGGTTAGACTAGGAAAGAGAAAACAGTAAACCATTATATTTGCAAGCAATTTGGGAATATATCAACAATGAAAGCAGTTTGGGCAAATTTCATTGTTTAGAGGCCTTCAGGCTGTATAGATCAGGTGGTGCTTATACACTCCCCGGTTCTCAAGGCTGGGCACCCAGGGTCCTGCCTCTCTATTTCTGTTTATATGTTATTGTCTGACATTTCCTTTTTTTTAATTTATGTTGTGCGTTATTTAGAGTAATCGCTCGTTTATTCTATCTAAGTTGCATCGTCGTACTGTGCAAGTTTCAGAGTTTTTATATTTTTCTATGAGTCTATTAATTTGGGTGGGGGGGTGGTTTAAGGGTTCTTTCTTCATACTGTATATAGTATGCTATAAACATGTGTTTTCATGCATGTACTGTACAATGTAAATACAGAACACTGAGGAGATAGAGGAGAGAGTGGTGACTTACACTCTAGTTTGAAGGTGAAGTACTCCGTGAGATGCCGACACTCGTGATTCCCTCTCAACATGAACAGTGTGTTGGGGTAGCAGATCTTCAGCGTCCATAGATACAGCACACACTGCATGGAGAGGGAGAGGGAGAGAGAGAGAGGAGAGAGAGAGAGAGAAGTAGAGAGAGAGCGATGCGAGGTTAAGTCATCTGGTACATATACATAAGGTGTATACATTGATTCCAGGCAGCACTTCCTCATAACGGAACTCACAAAACAACTTTCCAAAACATCGTAGCACCATTCCAAACCAAAAGTAAAGTGAAAAGTCTTGAAAAGGTAGTCTTGGAAAGTGCTCTACAGCAAAACAAACTATCTTCTGCTCTAGCTTGCTAGCTTACAGCTACATGTATACCCGCGTTCACCGGTCACAAGTGAATGAATCGCACAGCCCTTGTACGACTGCCAAAATCCTCCAATCTGATTGCACCCCCTCCCAAAACATTTCCCAGAGCCAAGAAAATTATTAGTAAAGTTTCGAGACAGCCTATTCAGTCTGCGGCCACACTCTGGGGAGGATACTAACAATAACATGGTCTTGCAGTGTTGTGCAACAATGTGCAACTATTCCATTGCTCCGGGAGGGTAGAACTCCATACACATACAAATTCCCATGGACTTCTTGGCATACTTGTAAACTCAAGTGTCTACAAGACGCCCAGCACGCAGACAAGAAGATGAAGCACAGTCAGCACATGTAAACAACAGCTGTTAAACATGAAAAGCCAGCCAACTATACAATGCACCCACACGCACACGCACAGACTGACCTCTATAGAGAAGTAGCCTCTGTCAACATAGTCTCCCAGGAAGAGATAGCGAGTCGTTTCGGGGGAGCCCCCCACGTCAAAGAGCTTCATGAGGTCGTAGAACTGGCCGTGGATGTCGCCACAGACTGTGACTGGAGCTTCCACTGCCAGCATCGTCTCCTCTTGTCTCAGGATCTCAGTCCCTGGGAGGGAGGGAGGGAGGGAGGGAGGGGAGAAAGAGAGAGGGCGACAGGGTATAGGAGAGGTATATACAACATACTAAGGGAAAGCAGATGAGGGAGGAAAGGAAAATTACTCAATGACTTCAGAGTGTGGGGGTGGGATAATTGGTAAGTGGCAGGAAGCTAACTTGTAGTGTTTGCAAGGCAGGAGGAAAAGGAGTAAACTGGTAGAGGAATAGGGGGTCACTCAATTCAAGGAAATGACAACTGGAATGAGGAAGGTGGTCTACGTTAGTATCCTCAGCCTCACAACCTAACACTACACTCCTCGTACTCTGACACTGGCTGACACTGACTTCAATACTAATGAACACTGACACACATACAATAGATGTCATGCTTCACACCCCGTCCCCCACACACTATAAATACCACCTAGTCTTGTATTACCCAGACTCAAGAGATGAAGGGTCTGCTGACTAAGTATTGAGCAATTTTCTTAGGTTTATAGAGTGCAGCTCACCACTATTCAGGTGCATACATGACCAAAAAGGGTTGGTTTTGTTCATGTACATGCACAATTAACTGAGCTGCCTCGTAAATGATCAAAGTGAGCGGTGGCAAATACCGCAATCTGATTCGCTAGGACAGTCAAGTCAATACAACGAAAAATCGCTCAATGGTCACCAGACCTCTTTCTTCCCCAACAGGTATATATGAGACCAATCACAACTATTACCCTCTCCACCACTCCAATCTGGTATCACCGCTCACCATCCTGGATGATTCTAATGGCCACCTCCTCCTCTAACCTTCCCTCGTGAATGAAATGAGACTTGAGAATGTCGGGGTCAGGCTTCCCTTTGCTGGTGTAGACATCAGCCATACCCAGCCTCTTGGAGGCCGGACACCGCACACCTGGAGCGAGACAGATCAGAGAAAGAGGAGAGAGAGTGAGGGATGATGAAAGGAGAGAAGTAAAGGGGATAGAGAGAGAGGTAACAAAGGGGAACAGGTGTAGTCGGTATTGTAGTGTGCTGAAAATTAACACCTCTCCCTTTTTGATAATACTTTTTTTACTGTTGGACCCACACTAAATGATTCTGTTCGCTGTCGCTTCAAGCTTAAGAGAAGAAAGCACTCTCAAAAAGGATATATATCCAGCACATCAATAGAAGGACTAAATAATCGAGTTGGGCAGAGAGGGTTAAAACGTAAACACACACTCCTAAATCTCGTGATCAGCAATCCAACAGTAAGACACCTTCATGGCTATAATTCGGTAAGACAACTCGATCATCTAATGGCCACCTCCTCCCCTATCCTTCCTTCGTGAATGAAAAATGAGACTTGAGTACAACCATACATTTTTATTGCTCAGCTCCACATGCTACTGGTTTCAGAGTTATCATATCTCTTCCGTTTATTTGGCTAAAACACACAGCAGTCATAGGCTCTAAAACAACACATTAATACCCTCGGTTCACACTCACACGACGCTACGCTGCAAATACCCTCGGTTCACACTCACACGACGCTACGCTGCAAATACCCTCGGTTCACACTCACACGACGCTACACTGCAAATACCCTCGGTTCACACTCACACGACGCTACACTGCAAATACCCTCGGTTCACACTCACACGACGCTACGCTGCAAGGTAGCACAGACCCCGCCAAGCTAAACATAGTATGGAGGTCTGCAGTTGAGTTGTTTAATTGGTCATGTGCCACAAATCACTGCATGTGGTCAGGCTCGAGGCACCCACGGGCACAGTTAAAAACACAGAATGGTGGCTGGTAGGCTATATTATTAGCAGGTATTTGGCACGACGCGAATATTAAAAAAGTATGTGTATACACTGCATGCAAACATGCAGAGCTAGACAGGGCTGTCGTTAACAGTAAAATGTGGCAAGGAAGAATGCCCCACCCACCATCCCACACACACATGCCATACATGATGCCTATATAGTACCATGCAATAACATGGCTACATTGTCACTCCTACCAGTCCCCCTCACACTTTCCCTATCATTTCCCTGTGCCTCTTCAGATCACACACAGGGATACAGAGTATTATAAACCGTTGTGCTCCTGAGCATTTTCCTGCCCAGCTCTCGTCTGTAGAGAGGCTTAAAATGAGGAAACCCTACCTAACGACTTCGTTTCGCTTTTGCATTCTAAAAGGTGTTCAAAAGAGGCCATAAATGGCAAAGTCACTGTCAGATGGTTGTGTGGGCTTTACTCTCCAATTACACAACATAAACTTGCTTGAACTGCCTTCTATAAATGTAGGACTCATGCACAAAAGTATATGCTGAAGCAATACACAAATGTACATCAGGCTTTTTGACAATCACGATATAATGCAACTATATGCCTCACCCAGTATTGGTTCAGTACAGGTCAGAGGAGAATCAACATTCCTAAGCTGTCCGCGCATGCGGCTATAATGTAATCAAGTATCGTAGCTGCGAAAAGAAGTGGCTCTGGCTGGTGTTCAGGCGGGCCAAGACCTTGCTATCTCTCGATTGTTTATATGTCCAAGTGTGTGCCACGGAGAACACTCGTAGCCTTGCAAACGCCAGTGTGCCGTTCTGCAGAAAGTGCTGACTCAGCGGGTTGACTGGGTTGCGTGGGCGAACATACGTCTCTAAGGCGCACGTGATGCAAGCGATGACGTGTGCACAACCTCCTCCGAGCACAACCTCCTCTGAGCACACTGTCTGCCCTCTGACCAACCTCCCCTACACACCTCCTCCCGAGCACAACTACGCTGACGCACACCTCCGTCCGTAGTACAGGTCTTCCTCACTATCTCTACTATAACAGTAAACATACATTTCCTCCATCACAACAAAGGGAGAGTGCCGGCCACTCTGAAATCTAACAACTGCTACTCTGTAACCTAATCCAACAGTCAGTAGTAGAGCAGTCAGGATGAGCCATGGATATCAATGTAATGTCTTCATCACAACGTGTCAATTATAGAACAACAAAGGGGCATTATCAATATTCAGGTCACACACATACAATGCATGCACGCATGCATGAACACACCCACTCAGTTTCCTACCACATACATTAAGTGTATGACAAGCACGCCCAATGGATGTTTGCAATGAGCCAATGTGCCCAGCTTAATTGCGTGAGTACATCTCCACATTGCTTTACATCCATGGTTATACACCCGTAATACAATAATAGGGGTATACGTATGTACCCGTGACATGTCTATACCAAGAACACGTCTATTGTAGCAGGAAAGCATAATGAGGCGGTTGAGGCAGCCCCATAGCACGTTAAGCTAAAACACACTCCCACAAATCCTACAGGAATACAGTACCGTGAGCAAAGCTCTCAAAAACACAGTATATGTTAGCAATCTCATTGCTTCATAGCCATTATCATGTGCACACTCTCAATGCCATGGTGGAGACCCTAAATAGTAGGGTAGCCTCACCATTCAGGGCATGTGTGCAGTGCGTGTGGGATTGTCGTACAGTTTATTGTGCGTGTAAAGAGGGGCAATTAATCCAGGATTTTAATCTACGGTTTTGTATCCCCCGTATTATCAGCCTATAAACTAAGCAAAAACACTCCAGGTCCAGTAAAACAAAGATCAACTTGTAAATAATTATAACTGCATCTCTCTACACTGTATCTCTACACGTAGAGGTGAAGCATGGCTATTGCACATACGTCGTAGATTGGGCTGGAGGAGTGAAGGTACTATTAGGTCATTCAGATAGTACTACTGCTTTCAGTACCGGCAAAGAACACTTCCCACCCTCCTACACTTCTACAGGTACGTACGTAGTATTCAAGTTTGCATTCAAGTGTCTCTGTACAAAACAAAACATCGGATTCCTCATGTGCAGCTCACACAGGTCTACACCTCCCTATTCCCAGAACCTATTGCTGAGACAAACTACTCATTAGGTCTGAATGCATACTATGTACAGTATTGCCTGACATCTTCTAGGCAGCAGTTGGGGTATGTATAAACCTGCCTCCCTGCACAGCTCAGGTCAGCTTGACAAAGGAGGGTCCAAGCACCAACCACTTAGTATATACACACCTGCCTACACTTTTGTAAATTGCTAAAGCGTGGGATATAACAGCAGTCGCGCCTGCGGTGATAGCCTCAGCGCCTGCATTCCCCAAGGTGGGAAAACGAGTGCTGAACAAGACAACCGCCCACTCAAACTTACTGCTGACTATTCTCCCTGTGGTAGTGAGCTCTTCTTCCCCTTCAGTCGGGGCGGGGGCGGGAGCCGGACTCTCTGGTGGCTCCGAAACAGACATCGCACCTCCACCAGTCCGAAGCGAGCTACTGAACAAAGGTTTTTCGAGGATCAAGCCCTCTTATGCTTTAGAGAGCTGGGAAGAGGGATAATCTCCACTTGGTATCAGTGGTAGGAGCTTCAGGAGACGTCTTCGGAAGGCGATCGCGGCAGATTCGAGCACTTCCCGTACAGCCCTAGATACAAAACTGAGATGAAGCATCCATCTTTTTATCACCAAGCCACACCTCCGCTAAACTAACACGTGATACTCAGGTTTTGAGCACGTGCTACCTTGGCGACGCATAGAAACCGATGCGGAAGAATGCAGAGCTCAGCACATGGATTCACTTGTCCATTCTCGGAAGGCGGCGTCCTCAATGGCACAGAAGGGCAAGAAGGATAAGGGCAGTGGAGGAGCTGCAGCGGCCGAGGTGCCTCCTGAGAGAGATGTGATACCTGGGAAGATCACAGAGAGCCAGTGGTAAAACATAGCAATCAACTGTGAAGCCATTTGAGGTGTTTTTAGACAACATAGTCACATTTCTTCGCTTGATATATTATAACTTTTAATGTGAACACTGCAAGTACGCATAGCCTTTTATACATGCTTAGTAACCTCCAATTTGCTGTAGTCTCTCCTCACTATTTCACTCTTGTGTTCTGCATTGTATGTAATGGTGTCACTCGTTACAACAAAGGAATGAGTGACCAACCAAGGCTAAATGTACCCTTTCACCTACAAAACCGTCATAAAAACTAGATGTAGCACTTTTCACACCACTAAGTGAGTTCTGTGTCACCAGGCAAGAGTGGTTGGAAGGTGAGGAGTCGAGTGAGGTGGCAGGGGAAGTGGTGAGAGGACTGGTGGACCTGGCCTTCTACCTGGACCGAGACCACTGTCTCGAGGAACAGGCTTTCTCCCACACTGTGCAGGCTGCTAGAGCCTCTCTCCTACAAATCATTGAGGTCAACACATAATGAGATATTAGTAATGCCAGGGTTACACTCGAGCAAAGAGCGGCCCTGCATGGGACTTGACCCAAAGTACAGCTCTCTGGACATACTTAGCTATAATATGTACGTGAAACCCCTCCATCAGGACACCAATGAAATTGTCCATAATAGTGAGTCCTTATTTCAGGTTAAACTGCATGCAAGATTGGGGGAAAAGGTTATTTAATTGTCCTTATTTCAGTTTCAGAATAAGATTGGTATACACTAACCAAGGTTCAAGGCCTTATCAAACACAGTTATTCCGGTTGTTCAGTCAACTCAGTTACCGCGATATGCGTTTCCAATGCAGTGGGAGTTTCTACAGAGAGATGAAGGAGAGCGAGATCCAGGGAATGACCCCAGCTGGCTCGAAGATGACGGTAAATTCCCCACAAGCTGCATATGTACTAAAATGTTGTTTTGACATGTACATGTCAATGTATTATCGACGAGTGAATGTGATGTGTGAAATTTCAGTAGATTTATGTAATTACATGCATGACGTATGTACTACAGTACATGTATGTGCAACACTGTCTACAAAATATGAAGGAAATCAGTTGTTTTATCATTGTATGTATTATTCTCAGAGCCGGAGTGTTCGGTGATAGACTCGTGGGCTAGAGGTATTGTTCCTGAGGTGAGAGATCTCCCGGAGGCCAAGGATGAGGTCACCACTACTTCCACCACCAGTCTGGACCACCAGGTGATCCTGCATGGGGTAATGCTTTCTTCGCGGGATGGAGCAGATGAGAGAAGTGTGGGGGACGAGGGGACAGAGGTTCACCCAGACAGTAGCTTCTACCACTATTTATACTGATCCCTAGTTCAAGGCATGACGTGTAGGACGTATGCACGTAACGGGTTCCTTAATAAACGCTCTCACAAACAGGCAGTTTTGTTTCTATATACAATCCTCGTTCCTTGATTCTCCCTCCACCATCCTCGATCTTGATTCTACACCCTGGTGCATGTCGCATTCAACACATCGTTTCACTGGCACATCATTTCACTGGCCAGATTCTTTAGAGAATCTTCTAACCAGGGCAGCTATTAAGTCCCGGATGCATTATACTATTGTTTGAACTTCCATTTTTTACTATAGAGTGATGGTAATTTTGCATGTTTGTGTTATTCAGTACTGTCACCCTACCTGATTATTGCCTATTCACATACACATATTTGGGCATTTGCCAATTATAACACGTATGTGTACATTGCAGTCAGTACTTGGCAATGTGCAAATAGGCTACAAATTACATACAATTTCTCAGTGTCCCACCCAACAAACACCATAACTCTGTGAGTGTATGGTAGCAGTGTGGAATGTCCTTTCCAATCATGGTGCTTATAACCACTTGTAAATGAACACATGCTCAATTATGCAGGATGAATGCCTCTCTCTATAACAATTATGTAGGTGCCCCTACCTAACGAGAGGGAGACGAGTACCACTAATTCCATACCTCTCAGAGATAATAGCAGGTAATCATTGACTGAGTGGTGTAATGTTATGTCGCTCAAACACACACTTGGACCATGCCAAGACGTGGAAATTGTTGTGCATCCTTAGCATTAGTGCAAATGTTCTAATAGTAGTAGAGTGCAACCTTTGAACTGCTCTACGATTGCATGTGTATGTAGTACATGTACATTGTCAACTCAGACAGTACCGTTGCCTTCGTTGGATTCAAACAGAAATTATTCTCCAATTCATGTTTCTGACTAGGTTAACTCAGTTTGCTAGCCAGTTAATATAGTACCTTCTTGCCTTGCATGCTTTATGCTACATCAATAAACTACATGTCTACACATGTTGACACTCAGGCAGCCGACGAGGGAAAGTACTGTTGCCAGCTCTTATTCAACAGCCGTCACTACAGCCACCAGTAGACAACCTTATAGACAGACAGCGCAGAAGGTGAGGGTCAAATTGTGCTGGTTTTTCTTTGCCCGTTTCCTAGCAGCACCAACACCCGCTGTGATAATACCCTAATGTCACACTCTGTAATGAGGTAGAGAGAAAGAGTATATATACAAAAAGTCGTACCATAGCAATGTGGTTTGAGGTTGCCTTTGTGTTGTGAACTGTACCAGCTGAGAGTCCCTCGTAGCTCAGTTGGTAGAACGCCAACCTAGACGAGTGCCGTTGGTTTGAACCCCACCCAGGGCAGCTCCTTTTTTTCTTGGAAAAGAGAGTTGTCCTGGTTGTAGTTGACTTGTTTGCTTTACATTTACCTTTCTCCTATATACCTCGTTGTTGAAACATGTATGACGTATAGTGTACATCATAGCTGAATCGATGTAATTAGTGTGAACTAATGTGTTGCTAGCAGGTGTCGAGACCACGGCCGAAAGCGAGACGGCCTCAGGCGAGACTGGTAGCCCTGACTCAGCCCCAGACCACACCGGACCCTCAGACACCTTCCACACACCACACAGATCTTGTATGTACCATACTACTACATACACACACAATTAGCATAATTATTGAGTAAAGTGTATGTTTTCCCAGTGTGGACACTCTCTGGCTTGTTTTGCTGCAGGTGCCATCCCCAGCTGGCTCACACACACCCACTACCTCTCCAGTCCCACCCTCCCCCTCCTCCCCACCTCCCTTCCTCCCCTACAACATGAAGCCAGCTCAGCTGCGTTGGCAAAAGGATGTCACATACGACAGCTCGGGAAAAATTGTGGACATGTTGAGACTCAACCCTTCCGCCTTCCCTTCTCACAGGTTCACCATTATAGTTTTAGTAATTTCATTTCCTTAGTGCTATTATCACTAAGTATGGTATATAGTACTTAGTATAATAGGGATGGGCATGGTACACGTACCTGGTACATGTACCTAGCATCAACAATTAAACTTGATTTTTTGGCCTTCCCTATGAATGACCCCACCAGATACACAATATGATGTAGCTTTTAGCCTTCCCCCCCAGTCCCAATTTTGCTTGCTCTGCATCTTCTACTTTGTACAAGGTGCATTTATTTGCCTGTCTCTTGCTCCACGTTTTTGCTAAAAGTACGAAACAATTTAACCCTAGTGTCTGTGTGTGTACAACTTCCAGGGTACGACCGAAAGTAACAGTCAGTGATCCAAGTCCAGCTCATGGTCGCAGACCTACTCACCACTCCTCTAAAGACAAAACCTCCGCCACTTACAACAACTCACAGTCTTCAGCAAGACTGGAGGTGGCAGCAATGCTGTGGGGACGGGGAGGGAAGGGGGTGTGAAGATGGTGGGTGTGAGAAGGAGGGGAGGTGGGAGGAGTAGTGAGGATGGGCCACGAGGTGGTGCCACTGACTCGAGGACAGGAACAAAGGAAAAGAGCAGAAGGTTCCCAGAGGTTCTCACACTACCAGCCCTGGTTAGTCACCAGGAGTATGTGTCAGACTGTCTATATACACATGCTCACTTCTATATTGATATTTGTCTTCTTTCGTCTCAGTTCGTGTATATAGGCTGCATATGTACACATGACATGTAACGACAATGATGACTTGAAGCTGCCCATGTGTTTACTCCTCGTCCCCTCATTGTTGACATGCACACACACCGTACATACTTGGCAGGTGGACACGATAGACCTGAGTCCTGGTGTAAGTCTGAGAGAGGGGAGAAGGAGTGGCCGTGGACCCCCCAGTCCCTGCAGACCTCCCCACTTCCTCTTGCCCCACACAGCCCTCCACCCTCTATCACTCCCTCCTCACTCCCTCCCCACCTCCACTGGAGACACTGGATGACATCATATCCACCACATAACATTGTGCAATGAAGTTGTTGTATATTATGCTAGGCATGAGAGATTATTTCCAATCCACGCAAAATATATATGTATCTTTGGTTTTATCACCAAACACCTATTGCAAGTTTACACTTGGCAAGATGTCTATAAACAGTGGCTGCATGGGAATAAAAACGCTGGGTTTGATGTAAAAGCAACTCCAAGACACTATACAAGTGCAGCGAGAGTTCACTTTAGGCTTTAGTTTTCTAAGATGCATAATCTAGTCAGCGTGGCTTCATCAACATCAAACTCAATGTTTGGTGTCAGTAGACATTGCACGTTTTAGCTACTACCTTGAAACAAACAGGTGCATGACTAGATTGATCAATCTAAAACTACTGAAGCATGCACTGTTGGCAGGCTCCGCTGTGCTCCTTGTTATATAATTATACACACCAGCTATCGACTATTTTTTCAGCTGCTACGTTCTTCTTTCTCTACAATGATTTAGGGTAGAAAAAATTTTATTATAAGTACAGAGTTTTAGTTTGAGCTGGTCAACAGCAGTTCTAAAATTCTCTAAAGACCAATTGAGTTCCACAACTACACACAGACACTGTCTTTTAATTTTTCAGCAGGTGAGGTATTGATCAGAGCCCAAAGAGAGAGAGGAGACACCTGATGAATCCACTGCGTATGAAGGGAACGATGAAGTCGACGATGAAATTAAAGAGACAGGTGACCAGGTTGCCACCACGTCCACTGGTGCAGCGGGTCACCTCTCGGATGATGGAGGGCAGGCGGCTCCTGACGCTCGCGAGGAAGGAGATGACACTTGATGAAAAGTCGCGACACACGGAAGAGACACCGGTTCCCCTAGTGCCAGTTCCTGTGCGCCTGGTCCCGGTCCTACGAGCATGTCTCTCCAGTGAAAATAGGCCCTCCACCTCCTCAGCCGACGGGTTGATGCCGATCTTGTCCGAGATGTCCTGTATGACCATTTTGATCTCCGCCTCGCAGTCTAGCATGGTCTGTCTCATCGTCTCATCGTCCATGTCGAGGTGGCAGCTGTCGTAGCTGTGGGCCTCGTAGCAGGCGATGAGGGCACCTCCGTGCAGAAAGTCGTTGTGACCAGTGTACCCCACCATCTTGGAGAGCGGTTTGCACTGGTCATGGGGATCTAGCTCTTGCTGTTTCTTGGGGCCCTTCTTTTTCGGCTTGGCCTCGCACCCAGCCAGCAGGATGGCAGCCAGGATGAGTATCACTGCGAGCTTCATATTATTCAGTCGTTTGGCTCAGCGAATGGCAGTTTAGGAGCTGCTTTTGCAACACTTGGTGTGAGAACTGGTGGACGATGTTGAGGCGCATTTCGACTCTGCTTTTATACCAGCTGGAGGGAGTGAGGTGTGGTTATTTGTGTGCAGTGAGGAATTGGGCGTAGAGCTCTCTACTGGACGAGACCAGGATGGAGTCTGAATTGTTGTTGGCGCTGTTACCCTGCTAGAGAGTTCCATTTCCAAGTATTTGAGGAGGGTTTATTGGTCTTTCAAAAATAATTCACTTTCTATTCAGGAACGGCATTCAGAATGTCCACAGTTGTGGCTGTGTGGTGTGTAGCAGTCATTCCAGAGTTATGTGCCAGTAGTTAGTCATTCATCTATCTAATTAGCATAACTTGTAATGAGTTGCATTTAGCAAGAACTATATGCACGCGATCTTACATGCCAACAATAATAACCGCAGTTGATACTTCCAACCCTTGATACTTCAGTTGTTGTGGCAGGCTGCTAGTTGATACTTCAGGCTGCTAGGAGGTCCATAGTTTTTGCTGATGCTTCCACCAGGTCAGTTGTTGTGTGGCAGGCTAGCTAGGAGCTAAGGGAGTCACAGATTGAATCTTGGAGGAAGATGTTATGCATACACATCAGGTAATGAATAGAGCTGGCCACACATGAATGCACCCCACACACACTGACACACTTTGAAGGAAAGGGGCGTTTCCCTAGCAACGTTTGTCGTCGTACCAATTCAGTTTGTCGAGCTGTAGGTATAGCATCCCTTTGCTGCAGTCACTGGTGAAGAGACTAGAAGTTGGCTAAAGAGTAGACCCGGTGTATAATTGCGTGGAGTAGGCGATCAAGAACCCAAAACGTGAGAATTTTAACTCCTCATGTAAGGGGGAGGGGCTCGTATTCTACACGCTGGAGAAAGTGGGCATAGCTGCTGTCACCGCCGCCCCGCAGCCGTGCACCGCTAGCTGCAATCCATCTTCACTTGTCGTATCTTTAACTTCGTAGAAGAAGAGACGGCTGCAGCCACTGAATACCACTGGAACAAGACTTGTGTGCGTGGATGACACGATGGCAATCCACGCGTGGACTCTGGGAGTGGCCTTATTAGTCTGTGAGTTTAGCTATAAGCTACGTAGCTTTATTTATTTTAGCTAACTAGCTACACATGTGCAGTCCCATTTTGGAAGTTAAAAAAGGTCTTTGGCACTGCTACAAGAAATGGTATGTGTGTCAGGGAGTGTAGCTGAAAGGAGCACAATATTCATTGCCGCCTGTGTGGTCTCTTCTTCAATGGTTCATCAGTGCAAAATATCCAACACTGCCATTATGACTACTCATGCCTCTTTCCATGTGGAATAGAACTGTCTGCTTGGTTGACATTTTAATGCCAAGGCAAGGCTGGATCCGTAGTTAGAACATGTCTTTTGGCAAAATATCCCAAAACCTCCAATGAACCAAACCTTTAGCCAAACACATACCCATTTTATACTGAGTGCTTATACCAACCATGTGCACCAAATGTTGTAGGCAGCTGTAGCTATAATCGATCATTATGCACACAACTATTGCTGGAGACAGTGATTAATCTGACTGGTGCTTTGGCTACTTAGCCCGTCCACCTAAATTCCCAGGAATGGGCTTGCCCAAGTGCTGCTCCAGTAATGGAGTGGATAAAGATTGCGACACAATTACCAAATATACCTTTATGCAACTGAATGTACTTCTTGGCCTAGATCGGTGAGATGGACATATTTTGGGCTTGGGTGAGCCTAGGTTAGCATTAGAGTTGGCATCTCATTCATGAGCAGAGCTGGCACAATGGCTAGCCCAACTGAAAATGCTACTACATAACACTTTGATACTGCTACATAACACCTTCATACTGCTTAAAGAGGTAGCTATTGTGCCTTGTCCTCCCTTCTGCCTCCTCCTACTCGATCCTCCCTCTCTACAGGTTGTAGTCTAGCCAGCGGTGTGGACGCAATCTGTGGAAATGGAGTGGTAGAGAGAGCGGAGGAATGTGACGACGCTAATGAGATGCCTGGTGATGGGTGCACTGGGAACTGTACAGTGGAGAGTTACTATCACTGTACCCACAACTCCACCACCTCGCCCTCTCAGTGCACCCTCATTCTCCTGGACCTCAGTTCCGACGATCACACCACTCTCGACCGTACCACAGAGTTCTTTGACATAAATACACCAGTGTTCCTGGTTGATCCAAACACCTTGGAATTATTTGTCTATACTTGGGTATGTACGCCTTTTGCATCTGTACTACTGACACGAGTTTAATTATAGCAAGGGCAATTAAACACATGAAGTGGTAAAATTGCTATGATTTTCATCCGCAGAACTGGACACATCTTGATATTGTCATACTTCAAGGAGAAGGAATATCCATATCTGAGAGTGTGAGTTATCGTAAACACATGTTTACTTGATTAACATCCAGTGTTGTATAATGTACTACAAACAAACTCAGAAAAATCACCAAAGAACTGGCTCTAATATATCACTCCACTGTTCGTGTTTATCATATTATGTTACAGGTTGGATTAGACTACATGGGCAATCCTGATGCTCCCAGTCCTTATCAGCAAAATCTTCGGGAAAGCGATTACCCAAGTGGAATCAACGGAAGGTATTAAACAACAGTTTTGTCGAACCAACTCGACACCATTGTGTTTTTCGGTTCCATCATTGTGAAATATTACATAACGGAAGTGTTGTGCTGACAGCATATAGGAAAAGAGGCTCTTACTGTCTTGTTCCAACTTTTTCATAGGTCTTTTGTTGGTGGAGTGAGAATAGCAATCGATGCATCGATTCAGGCGTCAGTGCTGGCTGAGGACCAACTACAGACTGTCCTGGAGGCTGCTATATACCAGGCCCACGAAATTCCCTCCGATTACCTTCCTCGGTATGATATATGATCCCTAGATGTTTACAAACAGCTACATAGCAACACTGGTAACAACTTGCATATCCATCACATACCCACTGAAAATGGTATATAGAGAGAAAACTTCCACATAATATAGAGCTCAGCTGTTTGCTACATCGCCATTTGTAGTGTCTCCTCTGTAGACTGTGAGTTAGATGCAAGCTCTCCAATAATGTAGCTTTACATTCCAGTTATTTAATCAGACAAAGGACATCGGTATTATCAAGTATTGCTTCACATGGAGTTAGTGCAACATAATATACCTTAGTTCACATTATGTGTTTACTTAATTAAGTTATTCTAGTGTGAACCCTTTTCTGAGAGTGATGCATAATACTTCATCATCTGCAGTTACGTATGTCTGGTGGCCCAAGACCCAACATTGGAGACCACAGCATGTGTGATGATCTACTACATTGGCTCCAATATCAACCGGCCAACCGTCAGCTATGAGGCTGGTGGCGACGTGGCAGTGTATGTGGAGGGCCAGAGCGAGCCACTGGCATTTGTAGCGGGGAATATCACTGTGACCGATGATGACCACCCCACCAGGTGAGGGATAGGAGCAACCTTATAGTATATATCTTTCTTCTCTCTCTTCTTGTTTTATTCACAATGGTGCGATCAACATGGGTTCCAAGTAGCCTCAACACCCAATTCTTTCCAGTTTCCGTAAAACCCTAGCCAGTCTTTTTGTGGTCATTGTAAAAGTGGAACAAATGACACGTATTGATCTGGTGGCCTATAGCTATACATGGTGGGGAAAATTGTGCGGGGGATCTCCCACAATTTAACCCTTGATTTGTACTGCACATGAATTGAGAAGGCCAGGGCTTCAGAGAGATGGACGTGTATTAGCTGAAGTTTGCTGGCCAACTTAGAATGGAGTTGACATGCATTTCTCATGGCATGCAGGTATTTGATGGAGTCTGCTTCAGTCAGTGTTGTAGGATTCACTCCTGAGAGTCCAGAGTGGCTGTCACTGGACACTGACTTCACCCTCCCTGGACCTCTCAGTGCCTCGGTGAGTTACGTACGTACCTATGCTTGTATTTGTGCTTTCTTCTTGAATTTGTTTGAATCTGAGTTTGTTCAAGCTTACAGCATTGTGTGCATTTAACAATAGTCCAGATTGTGACGTAATATGCTTCATTTGTTGTTACAGCATTGTGCGCATTTAACAATAGTCCAGATTGTGATGTAATATGCTTCTTGTTGCACTAGGGTAGGCATAATGACAAGGCTACGAGTAAACCGAGCCAATATGAACTGGCTTAACAGGTTTTCGTTTGTTCTCTATCCCCAAAGTGGATTGTGATGTATTATGCATTAGGTAGTATGCAAGTAGGTATGTAGATAGGTCTGAATCTGGTATGCATGCAGTGAATAAGATGACAATAAGATCAGTTTACACAGCGCATCATGCAGACTTTGTGCATAGCGGTGCACACTGTTTTGATACACTTACTGTATCCATGGTTACGTAAACAACCTATGATATCATCACAATTTCAGTACAAAGGGGTGTGTCTGTATGGGAAATATTCGTAAACGTAATGAGATTCATACACAACCAATGTCTTAATTGGAAATGGAAAGCATGAATGACAGAAGATGCATTCTGTGCACTAGGTGAGATAGCCTAAACTTTGCCGTAGCCTCAACTCACCGCAGTGTATGAAACTGCCATTAAAATTGCACATTGAACTCCAGCATTCTAAATCACAGCCTTATGCTGCAGATCTTTCTACCTGGTGGTATATGCTTAACAATTCCATTTTCTTTCATACTGACTGCCTGTATAACAGGTTAACCCTCGACACACATGCACAGCCAGGGTTGCAGTACTTGGTTTGTGTGTCAGTCTGGGTGTTTGTCGACTCCAAGATGGCCTCTTTGCAATACTAGCGGCTTCAGAGCTACTTATGTAGCATGAGGCGATTTTTCATAAACGACTGCACTCAAGTGAATAAGCTCAGCACTGGCTTTGCCAACAATAAAAAATTAGCACTTTTCATGGCAATCACACTGTCCAAATTCCATAAGGACATTTTTACTATGCTGTGACTGTTGCTCTGATTCCTTAGTTCGACACCATGACTGGGACCCTCACAATTTCCGGCAATGCCACAACTGAGGTCTACTCACAAGTCCTCCAGCAGCTCACCTACCTCAATAAGTATGTGCCAATGAGTTTCAGCTACCAAACACTGCTTATATATAGCTATACCTCACTGTTCGGCAACATAATGTATGCATGCATGGATGAGAGCTATGTACCACATACATTCTCTTGTTCCTTCATTTGCTCTGGCCTCTCTCCCCCACTCTTCTCACCTCCGCCTTTCTCTATGCCCTATCTTCATCTCTTACAGCATGACCCAGCCACCTTCAATGCGAGAGATTGAACTCACTGTATCTGATGGTATACATTCCAGCAACCCGCCAGTCATTATCCAGTCAGTTGATTTAATAATAGTAGTGTTCGTTACCTAGTATCCAATGCTACACATAAATAACTGTTGTGAATCCTTTCCAGAATCGACATTATGAACACCAATGATGATCCAAGTGTCTCATTGGATGGGGAGTCCCCTGTCGTCACGGCACTAATCAGTACCTACACAGAGGGCTCTGGTGCAGTGGCTGTCGTTGACAATATCCACGTCATTGATATTGACCCTGACCCTGTCATTACCAGGTAAATGGAAATATCTGGTAGTGCAGATATGCATAAATGGCAATACTATAAGCCTATAAGCCAAGGTTGATACCTACAGAGCTTAAAGCTGTGAATGTTTGCCTAAGAAAGGAGTGAGGCACAGGATCTAGAGTATCACCTTACAGTTTAGGAGTATATAGCATTCCTGGGATTACCATTAAACCGGATACACCAGAGGTTCACTCACCTGAATTTGGTTGGCCTCAGAGGTTCGACCATGTATCTAACCCCCTCTCCCCACCACAGGGCAATGGTAGTACTGAGTAACCCAGTGGATGGTGAGCAGGAGGTCCTCGCTGTTACTGACACCAGGGGACTGGCCCTGAATGTCTCCAATCCTCCGCACAGCCTGGTCTGTCACAAAGTCTTTACATGTGTATATTATGTGTGTGCATACACTGTGTGTGGATGTGTTGCACTTTTGCTCCAAATTGGCATAATCAATTATTTTGCTAGTCCAATGTCTTTGCATACTTGCTGCACAAACTCTATGAGCCACTAGTATGGATGCATGCTGACAAGGCTATCTAGGTATCTCAAGACTGCCACCTAGAAGGACCAATGATTTATCCCTATCTTGGAGGGTCGCTTATCAGAGGCTCAACTGTTATGTATTACTGATCGCAGGAGCTGAGTGGTGCGGGGAGTCTTGCTGACTACACTGCTGCCCTCAGAAGCCTCACCTACCATCACCTCAGTGCCAATCCTGGAAACCCCTCCCCACTCACTAGGTACACGACGTTATACCTCTAGAACAAATGTCACAGGTTGTTTGCAAGAGAGCGTGAGAGTCACAAACATTAAAAATGCAACCTGTAAGAAGGATAATGGTATGTGTGACAGCACCTGCCGCCAGGATAGGGAAACCCCCCATTCAAACGACTAAGTAGGCTAGCTTCTTTCATCATAAATGTCCCTTCATCAGTTATGCATACTGTACATTACTGCTCTCAATTCATTTGAGATTCTGCTACAGGATAATCATTGGAGCACGTAACTCTTGACACAAACATTACTCACACATGTAAATGCACTGCAACACACGTGCATACTGTAGCTGCTACATCCGTGTTCACTCTATATACTGCAGGTTGATAAACTTTATTGTGGAGGACAGCTATAACAGCACCAGTACTCTGTCAACTTTAATGGTATGTAGAGTTGCATGCCAGTGGAATACACATTTTGGTTGATTTATTACTGCAAAATTTTTATCTGGGACAGTTTATGGCTTTTGTAGTGTTCATGTAGTCCTGTACATAATCATGAGAATAAAAAGGGTCTGTTTCTAGAAAAGCAATGGCTACTATTCCATTTCACTGCAGCTGGAGATTGTTCCAGTCAATGATGCTCCATCCCTGTCGTTCTTGGGTGGAGGAATTCAGGAACAGTACTCATACACTGAGGATGACCCTGCAATCAACATTGGAGCGAAACCTGACCCTAACTGACATCGACGACATTTCCATCCAGTCTGTCTCACTCTATCTCACAGGTAAGGCATACACACTACTGAGTCAGAACCTCCACCTTCCTATGGAGTGAATGACACACCGGCATGTGCATTAGACCATAGAGATCATATACACACATGGTTAGCTATAATTATCACCCTGTAAACATTGCTCCCTACTGTAGGTCTGTTGGATGGTGACCGAGACAGTGTGGACTATGACTCTAGTCTAGTAGCAACCTCGGCAATATCTGTCACTACCACTAGTAATGGAACTTCCAGACAAATGTCTTTCTCTGGGACGGCACCTCACTCAGTATACACTGAGGTGAGTTGGTAACCTGACACATCATAAGTTTTACACCTGTAAAATTCTGTAGCTCCACCTTTCACATTCTATTAGTGTATTACATTTAGAGAGTTACTCGATTTTTTCAAGACGTTCATAATGGTTCACCACTGATCTCTCCACAGATACTAAGGAGCCTGACATACACCAACCTCTACACCAATGACACAGTCAGTGATGGTGTAAGGACAATCTCCATCTCTGCGACTGACACCGGTGGTCTTCAGTCAACAAACACTCTCACCATCCTAGTTGATGTGGCCAGAAGAAACGATGGTCCAGCCGTTGATCTCGGAGCCGGTAACAACCAGGGTTTTACCGTCAATTACACTGAAGAGGGAAAACCATCCGTGGCTATTGGTATGAGTCACCTAATCAGAATCAGTGACGAAGAGGGCGACGATGTCTCCGGCATGGAGGTGGAGCTGGTGGCTACTAATGGCCCCCTTGACGATGGGGACACCCTTTTTCTCAGCACACCTGTTGCCCTCCCAGTCATCTCTCACCCAAACACAACCATCACTCGGACCAGCATCAGTGCCAGTAATCTTGACAGTGACAGTGACTATGTGAATACTCTGGGAGCACTGAGATACATCAACACCGAAGACGAGCCGACACTGTTTGCGAATGATGGGGTCAGGATTTACCGAGAGATTGTGATCAGGATCACAGATTCCGTTCTACCTGTACCCACTACAAATGTTGTTAGAGTCACGGTCGAGATTGAGCCAATCAACGACAAGACCCCGAGGATAATAATCAATTCCGACCCCACGTGCACGCAGGACGCCAGGGACAGTGAAATGACAACGACAAGAGTATTCCGCAGATCAGTTGGTACACCTGCTCCCTCCCAGAGAAGAAGACGTAGAGACAACACTCACCTGAAAAACACCAACACCTTGGCAGTAAGCTGTTACAAAACCAGACACACGTCGTAACATGTTGGTAAAAGCAAAGGCATACCTCTTTGCTAGAAGAATCATCTGCAGTGAAGTCCAGTTTGTTGTGCGTGTGTTAAGCGGTGTCTTAGAGCTCACACACAGCTTCCATCCTAATACTATGGTAGTCTTTCTGTACATCAGATGAAAACCATTACTGTTTTCTGAATCACATTTTGCCCAGGCTGCTCAGGTTCTCAGAGTACACGCCGAGTTGATAGAGATCGACGGTGACAGCGGGCCCTGTCTGTTCCAGATGGTGGTCCAGTTCAACACTGACACCAGTGTCCCTGTGGTGGAGATACAGGAGGGGTTGGACTCACTCCTGACGTTTGCCCCTGCCTCCCTGGCCAAGACTCCCCACCGTGGCTACTGGAGGGACTACAGGACTCTGGTGATACTGTTCACGGAATGCGCACAGTGGGAGAGAGATGAGAGAAAGCCACTGTATCTGGTGTTCTATGGCTCTGAAGGTAACGCATACACTTCATTTGTACCATCCGTATTCAAAGTAGACTCTGTCATTACATAATCTCATTCACATGGAGATTTGTCAGATTTGACACTCAGTCTCAGAGTCAGGAAAGATATGAGTCTCTATAGATGGTGTAGTCACGAGGAAGCCTGTTTGCAACACACATTCTCTTATAGAGCGTGATGGTGTGAGTCATTGCTCTTTTCTTTGATATTAGGTTCTTGTACATGGGACAGCCCCTGTGATAACGGGGTTTGCTACAAGAACAGGACCGGATGTCCAGTGGCTGGCTATCATCGTGTTAATACTTCCTCTAACGAGGGGAGCTCACCCTCATCTGACTCGGTGGAGAATTGCACCGCACAGTACTATGGACCTGATAGCGTCTCAGTACTAATGCTGTCCTCTGTGCTACTAGTGGCAGTGGTTACTGTGGCCGGCTGTCAGTGCCGGAAAACTGTGGAAACGAGGTAAGTCATGAATAGCCCAGATAATTACTGTACACGCAACGTGTTGATTTCTGGCTGTCTGAATCTAACTGCCACCAGTGTACCTTGCAGTACAGTTCTTGTGTGTAAAATATAGTGTACAAAAGTCTGAGCAATGACTGCTCGACTTTTTTCTATACTTCCTTACAGATGTGGTACAAAAGAAAGCCAGCAAAAGAAAACCAAACCCGCCGTTCCAACCTATGTGATTGAAATCCAAGCCCCCATTAGCCAAAGACCATCACAATCGCCAGCAAGTGCGGCAGAGTGTAAGAAGATGGGGCTGCAAAAAGATGGCCACTGCCCACCTCCTTATGTGGAATCCTGTGCAGCTACACTCACATCAGCAGGTTTGAGTGAGATTATTGCTATAGGCAGATAGCTATACATGTTGTACTGCACTTTGCAGACTTTTATATACCCCTGTCTGCTGACCTGCCTTGGTAGCTCAGTGAATATAGCACTCTGTATTATATTGAACTTTGCCTGCATTGATTCCTCGTGCAGAAGCGATAATAGTCACGTATTAAATATCTGCAGTGAGTGTGGTACACAAGCCAGAGGCAGCAACAACTGGTCCAGCTCCCAGTGGGATGAAGAAAACGGAGAATAGTGATGAGAGCTCTCTAACTGGTGGACAGTGTGAGGGAACAGAGGACGAAAACAAGCGTCTCAGAAGAGAGAGAGGACAAGTATCTCCACCAATAGACACAGGAGGAGGTATATCAATGTCTTTTTGGTTGGTATAATTATAGTGGGACCTCCTATAATGATCTCCCCCTACAGGAAATACCTATTTGTAATCAACTGACTCTCCATTATTATACACAATATTATATACATCTCAATAAACTAAAAATTCTGTCTCAATATTATTTTATTTTTTCGGAGGTCATACTGTAGCTATCTACCAATCTTAGGGAGTGTTGAAGTTTTTTTATTGCATTCATACGCATGCAACAATGGTATCGTTAGTTACCACAGACTTATAATCTTTTGATGCCACTGTATTCATTATCGCAGGAACTAAGGAAAGTGGGGGAGAGGAAGAGGGACAGAGCACACAAGACAACTCAGCACCACCAAGAGAACAATCTAGGAACACTTACAGTGATAGATATTCCAATAGTAGTACACAGAATCCCCACTAGGACCCTTCATCACTGTGTGTTACAAGAACAGACAATAGCCACCACTTACGTTTCCATATGATTTCGTCATTAAATTATCCCTTTCTCTTTCACTTGATCTCCCCACTCTCTTTCGTTCCAAATATACACATTGTGGATTTACATTCGTGTGTACCTATGTATATACCTTTTTATATCACCCCCTCTGGTCAACGGTCTTCCGCGCGCGCAACTGCGTATGCGCGGGCCGGCTCACGGCGCATATCCTGAACGCATGCGCAACAATAATATAGGGAAATCCTTCTCTAGTATATAGTATAATAATTATACTTCTTTCAAGAGTAACTACTGTAGCTAGCTATAGCTAGATATAGTGCCCTCTCAGCCCCCAGGCTACTCCGATTCCTTTTATATATAATTATCTTGCGTGGATTTGCTGTGAGGTATGTGTGGAAGAATGTAACTATACAACCACATCATGGCAACACAGGAAGTCGGTCAGCATAGCTGCTACCGATCAGCCTTTTAGCAGAGCTAGTGCAGTGGAAGACTGACGATCTTTTCGACTTCTCCGCTACCCGCGCGCTGACTGCACAAGAGGTTGGGTACGGTGGTAGCTACGTGTGCAAGCTGCTTACCTGCAACCTAGGTGGACGCCCGCTGTGTGCTAATTCTGCTGCAGATGCACGAGAGGATAAGGACAGTATATGACGCCCTCCAAAAGGGCACTATTGCTGTCCTAGCTGTGTCTGTTCTGCTGGTCTCACTCCAGTACTCCCTGATATGGTACGGACTGAGGAACTATAGCTAATATTAGCCAATTGTTTTTGTAATGACTGGAGTTTCCTCACTCAGGAACTTACGGAGTTTTATGGGTGATCTAGTGTCTAGAGCCTGGGGCTTCATTTACAGAGCTCATGGAGAGAACGACCTTCTAATATCTGCCTTCAGTGAGTTGTAGAGGAAGTGTAGCTATTACACTTTTTTCTGTAGCTAGAGAATGTAGCTAGGTAGCTAGCTAACGGTCGAAAAACTAAGCCAAAGAGCTAAAGTATACCTTCTGTCAATCCTTTGTACAACACTATGTCATAGTCTGTAATGACTCTCTAAACCATTACACTGTGTAGTTGTAGTGTAAAGACGATAATATGACTGAGTATAATTCAACCAACTATAAACAGGTACAGTTGTAGTGTCAGACATTGTCTTTGTTGCGGGCAACGCCTTTTTCACATTTGTGGACCTGACGGGCCGACCAACCTTCATGCAGAAGTACAAGATACAGAAAGACAAGAATGTACCAGTGAGTAGCTAACACCAAACAACTCCCAGACAACCATTACGCATCTTATGCCCCTTGAATATGCAAGTTATGAGAAACAAGTATAGCTACAGGATGCATGCATGTACTCCAAGATGTATTTTGCTGCAGGTGAGCTGGAGAAAGTATAAAAGTGCACTGTGGAGGGTTATACCCAACCTGACTATTGTCAGTCTTGGGTTTGGTATTGCAATACACCCGGTGAGAGTGTGGCGGGGAAACCTCTCTGGATATGATGGCCTGCCCTCTCTCGCTACCTTTGCAATCAGCGCCGCTGTGTTCTTGTTCTTTGGTGAAGTAGGCTTCTACTACACACACAGGTACTATACCATGAGCATGAATCCTACCTCCTGAGTTGCTCTGGTATAATTAAAGCTCAGCTGGTAGAGCGTGTGTCGTGGGTTCAAATCCCACACAGGGCAGCTCTTTTTTTTCCTTTGGAAGTTCATGGGTGTAGTTTTTGTTTGCCTTTCTTTGACCTCACATAATGTTTAATGACACATGAATCAAAGTGAGGTATGACAGCAAAGCAAGTGCAAAGCACGCAAGCCGTGGCTAATAACTACACTCTGTATGGAAGACTGCTTACAAAAAGGGTGTGGAGATAATATAGCTATCCCAGATACCTTTTTGATCCCTGCAGGATGCTTCATCATCGTCTGCTGTACAAGCACGTCCACAAGATCCACCATGAGTGGACAGCTCCCACTGGTATAGTGTCTGTCTACAGCCATCCTGTGGAGTTTGTATTGGTCAACCTTATACCCATCACCCTCGGACCAATAGTCATGGGGTCCCACCTCATTATGGTGATGAGGTTTGCCGGTTTTACTTTGTTTACCTCAAAAAACAATGTGCGTAGAAAGTGTGGATATATAGTCTTATAACACATTTTTTTAATCCCCCAGACCCTATATCACACATTTTTTCGCAGAAGAATATCGAACATCAACATCGTCAAGGAATAAAGCAAGCCATAGACCGGTCCCCCCAAAGAACAAGGAAGGAACGGAAAGACAAGAGAAGCAAAGACAACGAATAACCGAATCGAATTCCCCAGAGTAAGAAAAGACAGAGAGACGGAAGAGCAGAAAGAAAGAAAGCGAGAAAGGGAGAAAGACGAGAGGAATGAAAGGACAGACGCGAAGAAGGGAGGAAGGGGAAGGAAGAAAGGGGCAAGGAACAGGAGTAAAGGAGAACAAAGGAGAAATAGAACAGAAGAAAGAGGCCGAAGAGAGAAACAAGAAGTAAGAAGAAAGGAGAAGGAAGGCAGAGGAGCGAAGGAGAAAGAGGCAGGGGGGAAAGAGGAAAGTAAGCCGCGACGGTCGGAACGAGGCACGACGAAGAAAGAAATCGACGCACGAGGCCGAGACAAAGGGAGGAGAGGGAGAGGACGAGTAGAGACCAGGCAGGAAAGCGATCGTATGAGGAAGTAACAAAGAGAAAAGGAAAAAAGAGCGGAAAAAGACAATAAGAAAATTCTGAGAAGAAGGGCAGAGGAGGAAAGAAAAAGGATAGAATCGCGGAAGAAAGGGGGAATTGTACCGAATATATGAGAGAAGAAAGGAGAAGAACAGCGGGAGATGGTAAGACGAAAGGACCTGAAGAGGAAAAGATGAAGAGGAACGGAAGCAAAAGGGGAAAGCGTATTTTGGCACGAGAGAAGGTTAAAAAAGGATGACTAAGGAATAACACGACAAGACGGCGGGGGGGTAAGTACAAGATTCGCTTTTCGTGTCCGCCCGGGTCCGCATCAGAGAGTAGAAGGGGAGGAAGGGGCAAGAGATAGAGCAGCGGCGAGGAACAGTTGAAAGAGAAGAGATGACGAAGAAGGGAAAGGGGAAGGCAGAAAGAAAGAGGAGAGAAGTAGAAAGGGGGAGGATGGACAGACAAAGGAAAGAGAGGGATAACACAAAGACGAACAGGACAGAGGGAAAGAAGAAACAGAGAAGCGGGATGAACAAGGGAGTAGAAGAGGTGGGTGACCGAAAGTAGAAGAGAAGAGAGAAAGAGGGGGGACAGAAGGGAGAAAGAGAACGAGAGGGAAGATAGAACGCAGAAAGACAGGAAGCCAACGCACGAGCGAAATAGATAGGTGGAGATGTAAGCGAAGACGACGGAGAAAAGGGGAGGGAGGAAAAGGAGGGGGACGAAAGGTAGACGAGGGAAGCAAGGAAAGAAAGAGAAGAGGAAGGGGGGGAAGAAACCGAGGGCGGAAAAAAAAAGAGAGGGGACGAGGAAAAGCATGCTGAGTAAGATGGAAGAAGTCACAAAACAAGAGAAGAGAAGAGCAGAACGGGAAAGACGAAGGAAGAAAGGACTAGATAGAAGTAGAAAGAAAAAGGACAAGTAAAGAGTACGATGAAGAAGAAGACAGAGAAGAAGGAAGAAACGAGAAGAAAAGAGAAAAGAAAAAGCAGCGGAGTCAGAGAACGGAGAGGACCACAGGAGGAGGAGGACAGGCGGGAACGCAGGGAGAACGTACAGAGTAGAAAGAGAAGCAGGAGGAGCGGACCGATGTAATGAGGGGCAGAATGAGAGATGAAAGCAGAGGACGAGGCAGGGCCATGCAGCTTGGGGGAGACAAGAATAGACGGAAAGCGAACAAAGGAGACTCACATAAAGGACGGGAAGCAAGACAAGGGGAACAAGACGCCAAGGCGAATCACAGAATGACGACGCGCCCAGCGCAGGCCTGATGAGTAGCCCATATCCATACCTTTCTGACCTTTCAAAGACTTCCACCACAGAATGTGAGGAGATTACAAAAACACAATGCAATAATATTGGCGATGCAATAGGAGTATAGTTCAACCTTTTAACTGCTATGAGGATTTCACACGTTGTAACTACCTAACTGTCAGGTCTGTCCACCAGTGACGTTGTCGTCGTAATTGTTTAGTCCAGACGGCCTATATGTGCCTCATGTTGTGACACTGACACTCCCGAGCCCATCAAACATTATTATTATTCATACCTGGCATACCACCCTCAAAATATATTATAATGGTGGTGGTTGCACCATAGAATGTAATATGTATATACTCTGTAGTACAGCATTATTATCATCTGGCTATAGCAACACATAATGATATCTCATAGGGATTTGTGTGATGGCTGGGGGTATTAATTAGTATTCTCACACTTACTTTTATATATACCATACCTATAATTATTCTCCTTTTACTTGCAAGTCTCCTTTAATTGCCTGTTGTAATTAATTACTATAATATTATTATATAATATAGTATTGAACCTTACCGTCTCAAGTATGGGGTGTGGTCTGATGGTTAAGGACTTGCAATCGTGATCATGAGATGAAGGGTTCAAGCCCGGTCTCGTGGGTTCTTTTTATAATGATGTAATGGAGTGTTTGTATAAGAGGAACGTTTTTTCATCACCTCTCGTGGCCAGCCAGAGTGGCTAAGTGGTTAGAGACGTGGGGACTGACACATAAGGTGCCCGGTTCGAATCCCGGACCTGCACTGAAACTGTCAGATGGTCCAGAGCATTGGCTGGGAACAGCTCTGGTTCCTCCCCTTACCCATGAATCTACCACTGACCCACATACATCTCAAAGGACAGCGTACAGTTTGGCATTGCACTGCGTCCATAGACGTCTGTCTGGAGAGATGTAAGGGTGGCTTTTTTTTTCAACGTCAAAAATTGTGTTTTTGACTAAAACAGTCCATGGATAAGTTAAAATGGTGCATAACATTTAGTTGTATTTTTTAATGCACAGCCAATGATTATCACTAAGTACCTAGCATCATAGATTGTAAGAAGATTCTCCACTTAACTTTTTCCGCGCCCTATGTCATTACCATTTTTAGTGTGTGTACACATACAGATTTCCCAATGTCCATTATCATCATAGCCCTCACCTAGACCATTCTATTTTGTACAGAAAAATATTGCCTATGTTGTTAATGTTGACGAGTTTGTGCATAATGTGGACTAGAGCCACTTGTGAGGGATGTAGGCACTGCCACGGATAGTTTTCTTAACCTGTGAAATCCTGTGCTTTTATTCAGGTTTAACCAAAACTATGGTACATTTGGATTACTGGACAGACTACATGGCACGGACAAGTTGTTTCGTCAGAGTAAGGAATTTGAGAGACACAGGATCCTGCTGGGGTTGACATCTGCCTCTCAACTTGTACCTGACTCACATTGAAAGACACTGATAGTTAACATGTAACTGTTGCACCACTGAGACAATCATTTGTGAGCCTATCCTATATCGTTGTGTTAGCTAGTGAGCTCCTCTGCTTTAAGTTGGGCAATCAGTAATTTTGGGCAATCTGTAATTTTGACGCAGCAAAGACATAGGGCATCAAAAAGTTCTGTCAAGAAGCTTCTTACGTATGCATAATTATTATGCACTATATAGCTAGTCCATTGATGGTTTTAGGCAAAATAATGGCTAGCCCTACGTCACCTTCTAAACTACCGTGGTTTCCGAGAAAAACAGGGGACAGACAAACAGACAGACACGTGTATGCACACACAGACCTACTATATACAGTAACCCTAACTGCGCATGATTGCCGGCGATGGTTAGTAATTTCTCTCATATTATATCACTATGGTAGACTCTTTTTAATGAATTTTCAAGGTAGCTGTACTATTATAATGAAAAGCACTGAAGTGCAAACCCTCGGCGAACTGCGCATGCGCCATACCGCTAAATTGATGGGGCTGAGCTATATATCAGTATGCGTTTCTCCCGCTAGTGGCTCGCGGAGAGTCTGGCACGGGCTAGCTACAGTAGTTGATAGCGTGCGGGAGACGATACATGCCCTATTATGCCTTCAAAATACAGAGAGGCGGACCTGGTCGAGGTCGTAGTCTTGGTCAGCCGCGTGGCACGCGTATAATACGCATGCGCACAGCAAATTGATGGGTTGGGCCACGCAACTCGGTCCGTGACCGTGCCAGTCTCTCGCTCTCGAACGCAGTCGTTTCAAGAGAATCGCCTAATAAGGTTTCAGGCTCGCGTAGTTCTGAAGACGTTGGTATCGCTCACGGGCCGCCTCGTAGCCTCGAGTGTGAGAATAGCTGCTGACGGGCCGCCTCGTAGCCTGTAGAGCTGCTGACAGACAGATACTTTTGCTAAACGCAGCAGCGCACACTGCCAGTTATAATAATATATGCAGAGCGGAGGCCAGGGGGGGGTGGTGCTCGAGCATCCTAAGCACCCCCTGGACACGCTACTGGTTTTGTTGTCTCGTTGCGTGTAGTCGCACGTGGTAACAGACAAACAGATGGGCAAAAAATGGTCTACAAATAAATATGTAGCACCTTCAACACACAAGATTTGACAGCCTTATCTCAGTAAAGTTATTAACCCTCGGCACGCATTCGCAGCGAGGGTTACGGTACTTGGTCAGTCTGTCCGCGCGAGTTCTCGCACTACAGGCTACGAGGCGGCCAATGAGTGGCACCAACGGGTTGTGAACAACGAGAAGATAGATAATAATGTGGCGATTTTCCTGAAACGACTGCGTTCCAAAGATATGGCGTGAAAACAAGCGAAAAAGCCAACGCGAGGTCGATCGCGCACGCGCCCTCTCCGGCAGGCTATATATATATAGCGCGCACGCTTAATGTAAATTTTTCGCCGGAGCATGCGCTGCGCTCGTTGGTTACGATCCACGGGCTTCTGTCAGTTTTGGTCTCTGTTCTCTTTGTTTTCGCAATGTAGCATAATAGTTCAGGTGGCGAGCAGTTTGTGGTTGCGGCCATACCTTCCCATCTTTAAAACGTCTGGCGAGAGTATTTGAAACACAGAAGTACGAATAAAGCAAATATGAGAGCCTCTGAAACACCTTAGCATTGCTCTAACAGTTAATGCAACTACCTTGTGTTACGGCGAGACTCGTGTTACTGGCTCCGTCGATGACGCATGATGACCCAGCATACAACTCGCGCGTTTAGCGCTGAGGGTTTGCACTTTAGTGCTTTTCATTATTATATTTACTGTATTGAAGCTGAGACGGGTCATTTTGAAAGCCCAGAAGGTGGCCAATTCACTATTATATTGGGATTCTATATGCACTGAGGAATGAAGGAAGCAATTCAGTAGTAGACCTCATGATGATGATTCATTTGTGCCAGACAAGTGAAGGATGCATTTTTCAGTAGTAGCTATATATAGCTAATAAACCTGCTACGGATCAGCCTTTTAGCAGAGCTAGTGCTGAGGAAGACTGACGATCTAGCTTTGACTTCTCCGCTACCCGCGCACTGACTGCACACAAGAGGTTGGGTACGGCGGTAGCTAGCTACGTGTGCGACCAGCTTACCTGCAATATACGTAGTTGGATGCCCGCTGTGTGCTAATTCTGCTGCAGATGCACGAGAGGATAAGGACAGTATATGACGCCCTCCAAAAGGGCACTATTGTCATCCTAGCTGTGTCTGTTCTGCTGGTCTCACTACAGTACTCCCTGATATGGTCTGAGGAACTATAGCTAATATTAGCCAATTGTTTTTGTAATGACTGGAGTTTCCTCACTCAGGAACTTACGGAGTTTTATGGGTGATCTAGTGTCTATAGCCTGGGGCTTCATTTACAGAGCTCATGGAGAGAACGACCTTCTAATATCTGCCTTCAGTGAGTTGTAGAGGAAGTGTAGCTATTACACTTTTTTTCCTGTAGCTAGAGAATGTAGCTAGGTAGCTAGCTAACGGTCGAAAAACTAAGCCAAAGAGCTAAAGTATACCTTCTATCAATCCTTTGTACAACATTATGTCATAGTCTGTAATGACTCTCTAAACCATTACACTGTGTAGTTGTAGTGTAAAGACGATATTATGACTGAGTATAATTCAACCAACTGTGAACAGGTACAGTTGTAGTGTCAGACATTGTCTTTGTTGCGGGCAATGCCTTTTTCACATTTGTGGACCTGACGGGCCGACCAACCTTCATGCAGAAGTACAAGATACAGAAAGACAAGAATGTACCAGTGAGTAGCTAACACCAAACAACTCCTAGACAACCATTACGCATCTTATGCCCCTTGAATATGCAAGTTATGAGAAACAAGTATAGCTACAGGATGCATGCATGTACTCCAAGATGTATTTTGCTGCAGGTGAGCTGGAGAAAGTATAAGAGTGCACTGTGGAGGGTTATACCCAACCTGACTATTGTCAGTCTTGGGTTTGGTATTGCAATACACCCGGTGAGAGTGTGGCGGGGAAACCCCTGTGGATATGATGGCCTGCCCTCTCTCTCTACCTTTGCAATCAGCGCATTTGTGTTCTTGTTCTTTGGCGAAGTAGTCTTCTACTACACACACAGGTATTATACTATGTGCATGAACCCTACCTCCTGGTAGCTCAGCTGGTAGAGAGTGCAGAGTGTCTGTGGGTTCAAATCTCGCCTAGGGCAGCTCTTCTTTTTCCTTGGAAAGAATGAGCTGTCCTGGGTGTAGTTGTTATTTGCCTTTCTTTCACCTTATATAATGTTGATGACACATGAATCAAAGTGAGGTATGACAGCAAGCAAGTGCAAAGCATGCAAGCCATTTGTGGGGATGTAGATAGGCCTGAATTTGTCTCCTGGTACCTTTTTGCTCTCTGCAGGCTGCTTCATCATCGTCTGCTGTACAAGCACGTCCACAAGATCCACCATGAGTGGACAGCTCCCACTGGTATAGTGTCTGTCTACACCCATCCTGTGGAGTTTGTATTGGTCAACCTCATATCCATCACCCTCGGACCAATAGTCATGGGGTCCCACCTCATTATGGTGTGGGTGTGGTTTTCTTTTGTGATCCTCAACGCCACAGTGGAGCACTGTGGCTATCACCTCCCCTTCCTGCCCTCCTCCGAGCTCTACGACTTCCACCACAGAATGTGAGGAGATTACGAAATATATATTAACAATGCATTTTTGGTGAGGCAATGGGAGGAGTCTGCCTTTTATTAGATTTTCACACGTTGTAACTACATAACTGCCAGGTCTGTTGACCAGTGACCCCTGTCTCATGGGTTCGTTTTATAATGATTGTATAAGACAAACACTTTTTCTTCACCTCTCGTGGCCACCTAATGGTTAGAGACGTGGGGACTGACAGCATAAGGTGCCCGGTTCGAATCCCGGACCCGCACTGAAACTGACAGGTGGTCCAGAGCATTGGCTGGGAACAGCTCTGGTTCCTCTCCTTGCCCACAAATCTACCAATGCTTCTCAAAGGGCATTGCACTGCGTCCATAGAGGGCTGGCCCGAATTTTTTCAATGTATTTTTTGGCCTAAAACAATCCATGGATAAGTTAAAATGGTGCATAACATTCAGTTGTTAATGCACAGCCAATGATTATTATGCATGTGTAAGAAGCTTCTCCACTTAACTTTTTCCGCGCCCTAATTTTCTTTGTTAAGAGTACATTTATAGCCCTCACCTAGACCATTCTATTTTGTACAGAAAAATAGCGCTGCCAATGCTATTAACGATTGACGAGTTTGTGCATAATGCGGACTAGAGCTACTTTTGAGGGATGTAAGCACCTGCACAGATTTTCTTAACCTGTGAAATCCTGTGCTTTTATTCAGGTTTAACCAAAACTATGGTACATTTGGATTACTGGACAGACTACATGGCACAGACAAGTTGTTTCGTCAGAGTAAGGAATTCGAGAGACACAGGATCCTGCTGGGGTTGACATCTGCCTCTCAACTTGTACCTGACTCACAGTGAAAGACACTGAAGAGTTTAAGTATAACTAAATTCAAGAACTAATTCTCTGACATGTTTTCTAATATCCAAGCCATGTAGTTATAGCGTGTAAGTGCTGGCACAGGAGCCATGTTATGGATATATAGCTAAGTCTTCTGCCATTTTCTGTCTTTGATCAGAGCAGTTTGACAAAATCTATAATAATGCTAGGGACAAGAGTAACCTCTTTGAAATGAGGAATAAGTTATCATGCCATTAGAAAGAAGACGTGTTTCCACACTAAGGTGCAAACCTTAGGGGGTCATTTTTTTTATCAGAGTGCACGGTTCTCGTCAGTCGTGCAACTCACCATGGCCGCCGACACAGGGAGAGGTAGGGACGTTTAATTGATAGGCTGGGCTTATTAGTCTGCGTTTACCCGTGATCTCCCGCTAGTAGCTCGCCGAGAGTCTGACACGGGCTAGCTACAGTAGTAGATAGCATGCGGGAGTCGATACACGCCAAGTTCGTTGTGACTTCCTGTGCCTCCGAGGTACACAGAGCAAGCGGATCAGGTCGAGGTAAGCTAGTGCTAATTAGCATATTGGCTTGTTCACTTGGTTTTCACGCCATAGCTTCTGAACGCGGCACTTTTACGAAAATCGCCATTTTAAAAATCAAGCGCTGAACCCGTTGGTGTCGCTATTTTACCTGTTCGTTGCGCGTGGTGGCAGAAAACGTGGTAACAGACGGACAGACAGACGGACAAACCAAGTACTGAACCCTCGCTGCGCATGCGCGCCGAGGGTTAATAAGCCAATGTTTTAGATAGTGAGCTGTGGGAATGCTCTCTGCTTGGATTAATTTTAGAAAGGCCAACCTTGCAAATCCCGGTCTCAATCTGAAGTAGGGAGGCGCTCATTGTAAATGTTTTACATGACATGGAATAATTTTCATATTAGTAGAGGTCATAGCTACTCTGATTCAATGTGCTATAGCATCTACTGTTTATACTCATTGAGAACGCAGTTCTGCTGACCATCCTCTGCCTTGTATCCACTAATTATCTGCCCTCAGCCTGTGCAGCTAGCAAGCCAGAAGTTCAGGTTGTCATGGAATGATTGCTTAAATTAGCTCATCTGCTTCAAAGGTCCATTGTGTAACCCACAGCTAGTGCTGGCGCAGTAAATTGTGTTTCAATTTGCATGTGGTCCGGGTATATAAAATCGGCATTGGTAACATGTTTGCATGTATAATTATGTTATGCTGTTACGTGCAGCAGTGGCTTAGAGCTAAAGCTAATCGTGTGTATTCTGGTGGGCTTTTAGCACAGCTTGTTGTGCTTGATGCTTTTTAGCAAGTGTTTACATGATCAATCTTTAATGATGGGTGTGAGTTACATTGTGATACATAATTGTTGGGGTTTACAACTCTCCACGGATTTATAGCTAAGAACGTGTTTAAGTCGATGCCATTAATTTTACCTGAACTCAATGCTGATCATGGGACTAACTACATGGGATAGAGAAACTGTTTACACACACACACCATATTAGACTATCTTGGAAATCCAAAATGAAAGTATAGGTAGAAAACACAACAGCATAATAATATAATTTGCCATGTGTCATTATAATAATATAGCTAATACTAAATTCCTATATAACACTTGTGTTTATTGGCAGTGTAATAAAAAAAGTCTACCTAACCCGTATGTGAGCTCCCTAAAACGACAACTGATCGTGGGACATTTTGAAAGCCGACAATGTGGACACTCTTGAACCATGCATGGACAGTAGGTAGTGGCCATAGCAGAAATAGAGCTCCCCTGCATCCATGTTCTCCAGTCTGATGTTCACGTATGGTATCTAGTTCCTGGTGTGTGTTGAACTCCTCCTTTACCACGTCCACTCCTCGGTACTCCAGGACGTGGCGGTGGTGAGAGAGACAGTCTTCGAAACAACGAACGTTCTCTTTTGCCCCCAGCGCTTCTAAGATGTCGCCGACGAAATGTTGGCAGTTGCAGGTGAGGAGGCCAAAGTGATACTTTGTGTTGTAGCGCACCAGGACATCCAGGAGAGCCCCGATTCTCTCGGTCTTGTTCTGCCTCATGTCCACTACAAGATCTTCCTTGAACACTGTCGATATCTGCACGTCTTCAGGTGAGAGTGAAGTGGGCGTCACTACCTCAGCTACTTCACGTGTGGGTGTGTCTTCAAAGATGGGGTTTATATCAGTTTCTGGAATGACGAGCTCACTATTGTCCCATGTCAGGTACATACTTCCGATCTTGATGGTGGCACAGTATGAGCCATACTGGAACTGAGGTGCAAACTTGTCAAAGGCTTGCTGAAGTGTCTTTCTTGTCTCAGGGCTGCCAATGTCTCTCCAGGTGATAGCTAGAGGGAGATCCTCTGTAGAGGCATCACTCATGCCACTGAAGAAAGCTTCTTGAAGGGAACTGCTTTTACTGAGGCTACTAGCTAGCCTCAAAACCTCCCCTGGTTCTCTGTCAGGATACTTGGAACGAATTCGGTCTGCTGCATTGTCTCTTAAGGCCACATCACCTCTCTCTTCTTGTGTGAAGTGGACCTGTACTGCTCCCTCTATCTCTCTCTCTCCAGCCACCCTCTTTAGCTGGCTCTCACTCAAGCCTGATGGACTGGCCCCCATTTTCTAGTCTTTAAGCTATGACCTAATGGATGTAGCAGGCTAGCAGCAGACAGAGGGTTAAAAACACCCAAGTGAGTGGGGATAGTGTATTCACAGCAAGTGGTTTGCTTCTAGAAAGTAGCTATAGTACTGTAGTCACAACAAGAGTAAAAGGGGAGTTTCAATCCACACACATGACAATTGGCTATACAGAGTTATACGTATGTTAAGCTATAGAGGCTTTCTTTCTTTCAAGAGCTTCCTCGAGGTTCTTTTCTTGGCATGTTCTGTCTGAACATTCACTTTCTTTTTCCTTGAATGCATGGAAGAGGTGGTAGAGACAGAGGCAATACTCCATATCTGCTTCCGTCATCTGCTCCAGGTTTGCCATAACGTGGGAATTGAGCTCTTCATGTGTTGCAAAATCACCAGGCACAGTGTTCTGAGCTCCTCCCTTGATAAGAAGGTCGACAAGTTCTCCCACTTTCCCTTCAAATTGCTTTTCATCCCCACTTTTTCCGATGACACCGAGGCAGTCCTTGACAAAGTGCTGGCAGTTGTTGCTGATGACGCCATAGTGGAGCTTGGTGTTATAGCAAACGGCCATCTCTACTAGCGCTTGAATGAGGAGCTCTTTTTCTTGTCGAATACCCTCAATCTTTTCAATGATACACTCAAAGTGTTTGTTCGTTTCTTGGTCGTTTGCTCTAACTGGTACCGGGCTCATTCTTTCTCTGTCATGCGTGTGGACCGTGCTCCAAAATGCCCATTCTGTTTCCGAAAAACGTCTGGAATGACCAGGCTCGAGTCGTTCCACTCAAGCACAGTGTCTCCGATGATGATTGCAGCATGAAACGCCCCATACTCGAAGGTCTTGACGTGTCTGTGGATTAGCTCGGCTACACGCTGCCATTTCTCGGTTCTGAGGGTGCGGAATGCTAACTTTACCTCAAGAGCTTTGACTCGATACACTTCTTTATGGATGGTGTTCATGCAGGTGTTCTGCTCTTGTGTGTTCCTGATTCCTCCCCTGTGAAACGTTTTCTCCCTCCTTACCTCCTCAACTGCATCCTGAGTACACTGTGAAAGATGACTGAAGTATTTCTCTTTCATTCTCGTTTCGTTGCACAGTGTCAGGGCCATTTCTTCTTGTTGTTGTGTGGAGAGTTCGAGGTCTTTTGCTTTTCTGAGTCTTTTCATGACCAACTCTTTCTTGTCAGTCTCCCTTTCCTGTGCAGCAACAGCACTGGCATCTGGTCTTGTTTCTGCTTGAGCCTTCTTGATTTTCAGCTTGCCTTGTTCTCTCTGTTTTGTCTATATGATCCACGAACACTTCCTTGAACAATTTCAAGATCAGCAATGATATATGTGTGAACTGGCTTTCATTGTTAACTGGCTCATTTTTGTAAATGTTGTTTCACTATATTATACAGGGTAAAAATTCTTAGTGGGTGGCTTTAGCATTACCTATATCCACAGCATTATGTTTTTCTGACTGTGTGAGAAAATATAATATTCATACAGGGACTAAAGGGGAGTAGCTATATATCATCCACAAAAGTATTAACTGGAAGCTAAATAAAGCCTATGCTACAAGATATTATTAAGATGTCTTTCTTCAAGAGCTTTCTCGAGGTTCTCCTTTTGGCACGATTCATCTGAGCATCCCATGTCACTGTCAGAGGCATGGAAGAGGTGGTAGAGACAGAGGCAAAATTCTATATCTGCTTTTGTCATCTGCTCCAAGTTTTCCTTGACGTGGAAATTGAGCTCTTCGTGTGTTGCAAAATCACTAGACACTGTGTTTTCAGCTCCACCCCTAACAAGAAGGTCGGCAAGTTCTCTCACTTTCCCTTCGAATGGAAACCTTTCTTCCCGACTTACTCCAATGACACTGAGGCAGTCCTTGACAAAGTGCTGGCAGTTGTTGCTGATGACGCCATAGTGGAGCTTGGTGTTGTAGCGAACAGCCACCTCTACCAGTGCGTCAATGAGGAGCTCTTTTTCTTGGTGAGTACCGTCAATCTTGTTAATGATGCAATCAAAATGCTCATTTGTTTCTTGGTCATTTGCTCGAATGGGTACTGGATTAAGCATAGCTGCCATGCCTTCCGCTTCAGCATGTTGAGGGCGGACGGTACTCAAAAATGCCCATTCTGTTTCAGAGAATGGTCGTGGAATAACCAGGCTGGAGTCGTTCCATTCGAGCACAGTGTCTCCGATGATGATTGCAGCATGAAACGCCCCATACTCAAAGTTCTTGACATGTCTGTGGATTAGCTCGGCTACATGCTGCCATCTCGGGGTTCTGAGTGTACGGAATGCTACCTTTACCTCAATTGTGTTGACTCGATGTGCTTCCCTAGCAATGCCAGCCATGCAGGTCTCCTGCTCTCTGTTGTTCCTAATGCCTCCCCTATGATCTCTCCCCTCCCTCCTCACTTCTTCCACAGCTTCCCTTGCACTTTCCAACAGATCCCTGAAGTACTTTCCCCTCATTTTGGCTTCATTGCTCAAGGTCAAAGCCATTTCTTCCTGTTTTTCAGGCGAAGCATCAAGATTTCTTGCCTTTCTCAATCTGCTCATAACCATATCCTTCTTCTGAGTCTCTCTCCTCTGTGCAGCTCGAGTAGTAGCATCTGTTCCGCTTGTTTCTGAATTGCCTTTCTTCTTTGGCCGACTGAGGGACATTCTTTCAGATGGCAACGGTGGTAGCTAGCCTCGAGCGCTTAGATTTCCCACGAAGCACGCCGTTTCGAATGAAAACCTGCTGGTGCAAAAATGTGCCCGTCGGAATCACAATACGTTCGCGCACCTTGAAATCTACTCCCGATTCAAGCACCGTATGCGGCACGCTTGGTATCAAAATGTAGGACCCAAGTTAGTAGGGATAGCATATTCACAGCAAGTGATTTGCTTATAGAAAGACTGTAGTCACAACAAGAGTAAAAGGGGAGTTTCAATCCACGCACATGACAACAATGGTTATATAGAGGTTTATTTTTCATGATGTGACATCCCTACATCCCCTTTCATTTCACAGAAATGATTTTCCACTTGGATTTATGGGCTCAGCCTCTCTCTCTCTCTCGTACGTAGAGGCAGCAACGCAACTATTCCCTCGCTCCACTGCGCATGCGCAATAGAACATGCATTTGACCGTCTAATCTCTTGTATATATCCGCCCCTGTTGTAGCGTCTCATGTCTTGGGTAGGGATTTGCGTAGGTGCCATTGTCGACGGATGCTCCGACCTAGCTGCAGGGGCTCTACGGGGGTGCTGCAAAATTGGATGCCAACAAATCGCAAACTTCGGAAGGAAATGCTGCACAATCTCTGGAGATGCTACGCCCATTTGCTGTTGTGCTAGCATGGGAATATGCCTGCTTGACCTTCTATGTTGCTGCGGGGGTTCAGCTTCATGCGGACTGCGCTGTTGTGGGTATGGGCGGAAGTGCAAGAGCTCCATACTCACACGCTTTCTCTACCTTTCCTTCCTCCTGGCTATTGTATTTGTTTCATCCATCCTTCTGGCCCCAAACGTCCAGAGGGCTATGCAGCAACAAGCGGTAACACTTTACATGGTCTGGTATAGGTATGAGTGACAATTATTAATTCTCTTCATCACAGAATGTTTTGTGTGTTAACAACAACCAGTCTGTGGTTTCATATGTTGTGACTTTCCCTACTGCTAATGCCAATGGGTCACTCCTAAACTGTGACCAGTTCATTGGGTATCTTGCTGTCTATCGAATCTGCATGGGTGTGGCATTATTCTTCCTTGTCATGATGTTCTTGATGCTTCATGTCCTCAGCAGCAAAGATCCACGATCCTACGTCCAGAATGGGTCTGCTTTTTTCACACATTTAAAACACTCTCTTTTATGTGCAATTATGCAGATTTTGGGGCATAAAATGGATTGTAGTTATTGCCATTACTGCTGCAATTTTCTTCATTCCTGATGGAAGCAATCTGGCCTTCTCAAGAAGTGGGTGTTTAGACCTACTGTCAGTGTTCTTATCAATTTGCTCTTCTCCTGCAGCTGCAATGGCATTAGGGTTAATTGGATCGTTCATGTTTATCATTATCCAAGTGATTTTCCTAGTGGATCTTGCCCATTGCATGGCTGAGTTTCCGTGAGTGCTGAGTAGCTATTATAGTCGAGAGTGCAGCCCTCTTGTCTAAACAGCCAGAGCTGCATGCATCTCACTCCTTAATTACTGACACGCTCATGACCACTACTTGTAGGTTGAACAGAGCCGAAGAATCAGAGAACAAATGGTGGTATTTGCGTAAGTTATCTGTAGAGATGACACTTAGTCAAATCACACGTGATCTGCGTACACTCGATCGACAGACGCTTACACAACATACGCCTAGCTCCACGCTAGAATTGGTATTTACGCGTCTTTTTAGAGAACCCGCTGTCTCCTTACCTGACCAGTAGAAGCGGGTATTTTAGCGCTGCACGTAGCTAAATGCATGTGCGAGAGGGTCCAAGGCTTGGCTTGATTTTGCTTTCAAGCTGTATCTAACTTTTAACCTCAGCATAAAAAATCAATCTGGTGCAGCGCTGAACCCGTTAGTATCGTTCTTTTAGACTGTTTGTTGCGCGTGGTGTCAAAAAAACTTGGTACGTACAAAGGAAGACATAGCTAACCCCCCGAGTCTCACGGAAAAAATCCGTCCGACCGTCCATTGACGCGTATGATTCGCGCGAATGGATGCAGGGCGAGCGCGCGAGAGCTATCTGTACGTAGCCTAGCTTTCCTCGCCAACTTACAACGACTCATTTACAACCAGTACCTTGGTATAGCTTCGGTCAGGCATCGAGGAGCGCAGCGAATGCAGCCGAATGAACGAGATAGAGAGTTCTCTCGCTGGGTAGAGGCCGGCAGCGTGAAAATTTGATTTATAGGACGACGTGCGGACGTAAATTCGTGCAGTTCGTCGCGCTTGCCAAAATACGTGACAATCCTTCCCAGGCTTACCTTACTGTAATGGTGCTGCTTGCATAACTACTTTGAGAGAGCATAGCTTAGACTTTCATTGCTCAATTTTTTCTTGCCTTAGCCTGTCCATTTATCTCTCACACACAGCTATTGCAGTGGGAACTGCGTTCATTAACTTCTTTGCTTTTGCTGGTATTGTCCTCATGTATGTCTACTTCACTGAGGTTTGCATACATTTTACTTGCTCTCACTACATGCATTGATTGACACCGGTGCAGTTGAAGAGTTGCTCTCTAAACAAGTTCTTCATTACCAGTACACTGTTCTTTGGTTTGATTGTTTCTATTGTTGCAGTCTTACCCTGCGTTCAGAAAGGTGTGTGCGCCGTATTTGTAATGTGCCATCTTATCACACTGTATATACTGTGCTGAAATTTATTCTGCATCAGTCCAGCCTAAGTCAGGTCTACTCCAGGCTTCAGTTGTCTCTGGCTATTGTACTTATCAGACTTGGTCTGCCATCTCTACTGAACCTTATGGTCCAGGTCTGCTTTTATCTCTGTATAGCTACCAATTACCTTGTCTTCCTGGACTACTAAAACCATCTTCTCTCCAGATCATGACTGTCGTGTTGATGGAAACACTTTTGCTGTGTTTGTTGACAATGGCAATGCCTTAGCGGCATCAATCGTTGGTATACTAGTCCTTCTTTTGACTATTGCATTTATATGGTACTGGACCAATTTCCTTGGAGTAAAAATTAATAGTCTTTCTCCTCTTTCAGCTTCAGCCTGTCAAGCACATCACGGCTTAGGAAGTTCAGAGGGAGTAAAAGGGAAAATAAGGTAGGTTCTTTAATGTAATTGCATGTCTTCTTCCTTAATCACTCCAATTTTAAGCACTTATCATGACTCTATTTATCCGTGTGTGTATGTTTAAAATTAATCATCACGGGATCGCCCTCATGCTTAGTTCGGCCATTTTTGTTTTTTGCCTGCAATGTCTCACTGGATCAGTCATTTTCTGCAATTTCAGGGAACTTTAACCCTTTGGGCGCCATTTACATAATATATATGCACAGAGCCTCCATAAGTGCATAATATTTTATATAAAATGGCTATAATACTAGGCGCTAATATGTTATACATCAATTTCTGCTTATTTAAGGTGACACCTATGGCGCCCAAAGAGTTAACCAACGACTTCGCCTTCAGTAACTGTGGCTTTCAGAGATCTCTGCTGTGCTGTGATTGTCTTCCAGATGATAAACAAGAGGAGGAGAGCAGTGTAGAGGAAGACGAAGAAACACATTGCTGCAGGATGAATGGTGTCGATGATGAAAAGAACGGAGTCACCTACAGCTACTCACTGTTCCACTTCCTTATGCTCATCTCTGTTCTCTATCTCATGATGCACCTAACCAACTGGGCTGAGTGAGGATAGCTCTTTAATTAGAATAGCTGACTCTATCTCTCTCCCTCTCTCTCTCCCCTCCCCTAACAGTGGTGGTTACTATATAGCTAAAACGTAGTGATGTAATGTGGTTACTATATATAAATCTACTCACAGACATAACAAGGGTAGCTGTATAATAGCCAGCTAGATAGGTAGTTCACTTCAGTATAAGCAAGTCAGCAAGAGCAACCAGGTATAATTATGCTGTAGAGTCAATAGAAGTAGGCTGAAGAATATCTGTATCTGTAATTGAGGTTTCCCTGTTTGGAAGAATTAGATATATACGTAGATGTGTAACAATTATGATGTATACTGCTGGACTCCAAAAGGTGGAGTGGCTTCGCCCCATTTGGGAGTGTATTACATGTCGGGAGTATAAAGAGGGCGAAACATGTAATGCATGATGAACAATGGGGAACTCCCCTGATTACCAATGCAGTCACATAGATTTATTAGACTCTGATTCAGGAGACCACCAATATCAAAACCTGTACATTTTAAGCATTCGAATGCGTGATTCTCAATGTCCCACACAAATATGGACAAAGTGCCGCCTAACTTTTGAGTTTGATTTTTTGACACCCGTTAAAAATCTCTCTCTCTCTCTCTCTCTCTCTCTCTCTCTCTTTCTGTCTCCCTTAGTCCGGGTAAGACTGGTAGCGAACACTTCTTGAACAGCTGGGTTTCAGTCTGGGTCAAGATGCTCACTGTCTGGATCTGCTATGGAGTCTATGTCTGGACCCTCCTTGCTCCTCTTGTCTTAGGCAAATGCCGGGATTTTGACTATGTCAATTAGCCTAAAACTATAGTAGGAATAATACAGCAAGGTGATAATGTGTGGCAAATGCTGTACTTCTTGTATTTTAATAATGCCTTGTCGCACTACGTGTTGGCAAAATACTAAAAGAGTAACAAACTCAAGTCCATGTCATGATAATGCAGTTTAGGAGGCCTTCATCTCTTCCAACAATGCATTGCTCCTATATGAGGTGTGTGGGCAAATAATCCTATGGTCTCTTCAATGTGTATATATCTGTTTTACAGTAAGGATATGGATCAATTAGTATAGTGTGGCTTCTACGGCCAATTAAAGAAAGCAAAACGTTTGTGCCTTGAACAACTTCAATGTATCGATTTGGTTGTGTGGAAAGGAAAAACTCATATTTTCATGCAACATGGTGCATGGACCCATCATACCAATACAATGAAGTTGCATGAGACTTGTTGCAAGTTGTAACAAACCTGTGTCGTCTGTGTTTGCCTTCATAAAATATCTTCATTGACAACAAAGTTCTGCTGATCGTTTTCTGCCTTGTATCTTGCTACAACTATGGTAGCTGTGGCCATGTTGTTCCCCACACCTTAGCCAACTCTAACACACTAGCCAGCACTGATGACAGTGAATGAAATGTCCACGACTGCGACGGACATACACTGCATACAACACAGCCCCCAGAGTCACTATGCCAACAGAAATGAAGACGAGGACCGAGAAATGCTTTGGTCGAGGAGCTACTATGACCAGGACATAACGCAGTGTTCCCATTGCATTCATGATGATTCTACCCACTACACCCCTCTTTTCCTCGGCAACTGTCTCCTGTAGCTATGGTAAGGTCAAAGATCCAGAGTCCAAACCGAGCCAGAACGATCCCAGTCAGCATTAGAACTATGGGCAGAAGTCCATGCCTATTTAGTCCCACCTCTAACCCCGACGACGACATGCTCCCGGTACAGTTATGAGAGGGAGCAGGATGTGTTAGGTTTCCACTTCCTAAGTCATTTGTAGATTGTTTGATTGTCTAAGTAATTCACCTGACCCATTGCCACTATAAGAAGGTGAGGGGGCAGGCAGGGAAGTGTGGAGGGGAACCGTCACATGATGTGTCATCTGCAGGCCAGTGAGCTGAGAAGTAACCCTCTGCTGTGTTTGTAGCCCTCTCAACTGGTATCCCCACAGCAACCAAACACAGAGACAGCATGACGAGCTGACTCGAGATTCCAAACATTCCACTCCTCACAAGTCCCTCGTCTGATGTATGGGTAGCCAATTTTTCCTGCCACTCCTAATAATTATTGCTCCGACCCAGCAAGTGTTTAAAATATGCATGATCTATCTTTAATGATGGATGTGGGTTACATTGTGATACATAATTGTTGGGGTTACACGCATTTATATAAGAACGTGTTTAAGTCGATGCCATTAATTTTACCTGAACTCAATGCTGATCATGGACTAACTACATGGGATAGAGAAACTGTTTACACACACACACATATTAGACTATCTTGGAAATCCAAAATGAAAGTATAGGTAGAAAACACAACAGCATAATAATATTATTTGCCATGTGTCATTATAATAATATAGCTAATACTAAATTCCTTCCTATATAACACTTGTGTTTATTGGCAGTAATAAAAAAAAGTCCTACCTAAACCCGGTATGTGAGCTCCCTAAAACGACAACTGATCGTGGGACATTTGAAAGCCGACAACTGTGGACACTCTTTGGACCATGCATGGAACAGTAGGTAGTGGCCATAGCAGAAATAGAGCTCCCCTGCATCCATGTTCTCCAGTCTGATGTTCACGTAGGTATCTAGTTCCTGGTGTGTGTTGAACTCCTCCTTTACCACGTCCACTCCTCGGTACTCCAGGACGTGGCGGTGGTGAGAGAGACAGTCTTCGAAACAACGAACGTTCTCTTTTGCCCCCAGCGCTTCTAAGATGTCGCCGACGAAATGTTGGCAGTTGCAGGTGAGGAGGCCAAAGTGATACTTTGTGTTGTAGCGCACCAGGACATCCAGGAGAGCCCCGATTCTCTCGGTCTTGTTCTGCCTCATGTCCACTACAAGATCTTCCTTGAACACTGTCGATATCTGCACGTCTTCAGGTGAGAGTGAAGTGGGCGTCACTACCTCAGCTACTTCACGTGTGGGTGTGTCTTCAAAGATGGGGTTTATATCAGTTTCTGGAATGACGAGCTCACTATTGTCCCATGTCAGGTACATACTTCCGATCTTGATGGTGGCACAGTATGAGCCATACTGGAACTGAGGTGCAAACTTGTCAAATGCTTGCTGAAGTGTCTTTCTTGTCTCAGGGCTGCCAATGTCTCTCCAGGTGATAGCTAGAGGGAGATCCTCTGTAGAGGCATCACTCATGCCACTGAAGAAAGCTTCTTGAAGGGAACTGCTTTTACTGAGGCTACTAGCTAGCCTCAAAACCTCCCCTGGTTCTCTGTCAGGATACTTGCAACGAATTCGGTCTGCTGCATTGTCTCTTAAGGCCACATCACCTCTCTCTTCTTGTGTGAAGTGGACCTGTACTGCTCCCTCTATCTCTCTCTCTCCAGCCACCCTCTTTAGCTGGCTCTCACTCAAGCCTGATGGACTGGCCCCCATTTTCTAGTCTTTAAGCTATGACCTAATGGATGTAGCAGGCTAGCAGCAGACAGAGGGTTAAAAACACCCAAGTGAGTGGGGATAGTGTATTCACAGCAAGTGGTTTGCTTCTAGAAAGTAGCTATAGTACTGTAGTCACAACAAGAGTAAAAGGGGAGTTTCAATCCACGCACATGACAACAATGGTACAATTGGCTATACAGAGTTATATATGTTAAGCTCTAGAGGTTTTTTTTCTTTCAAGAGCTTCCTCAAGGTTCTTTTCTTGGCATGTTCTATCTGAACATTCACTTTCTTTTTCCTTGAATGCATGGAAGAGGTGGTAGAGACAGAGGCAATACTCCATATCTGCTTCCGTCATCTGCTCCAGGTTTGCCATAACGTGGGAATTGAGCTCTTCATGTGTTGCAAAATCACCAGGCACAGTGTTCTGAGCTCCTCCCTTGATAAGAAGGTCGACAAGTTCTCCCACTTTCCCTTCAAATTGCTTTTCATCCCCACTTTTTCCGATGACACCGAGGCAGTCCTTGACAGTGCTGGCAGTTGTTGCTGATGACGCCATAGTGGAGCTTGGTGTTGTAGCAAACAGCCATCTCTACTAGCGCTTGAATGAGGAGCTCTTTTTCTTGGCGAATACCCTCAATCTTTCAATGATACACTCAAGTGTTTGTTTCGTTTCTTGTGGTCGTGTGCTCTACTGGTACACGGGCTCATTCTTTCTCCTGTCTGCGCGTGGACCGTGCTCCAAAATGCCCATTCTGTTTTCAGAAAAACGTCGTGGAATTGACCAGGCTGGAGTCGTTCCACTCAAGCACAGTGTCTCCGATGATGATTGCAGCATGAAACGCCCCATACTCGAGTCTTGACGTGTCTGTGGAGTAGCGTCGGCTACACGCTGCCATTTCTCGGTTCTGAGGTGGCGGAATGCTAACTTTACCTCAAGAGCTTTGACTCGATACACTTCTTTATGGATGTGTTCATGTGCAGGTGTTCTGCTCTTGTGTGTTTCCTGATCCTCCCCGTGTGAAACGTTTTTCTTCTTTCTCCCTCCTTACCTCCTCAACTGCATCTGAGTACACTGTGAATGAATGAAAGATGTCTGAAGTATGGCTCTTTCATGCTCGTTTCGTTGCACAGTGTCACGGCACTTCTTCTCTGTTGTTGTGGGGAGAGTTCGAGAGGTCTTTGCTTTTCTGAGTCTCTTCATGACCACTCTTTCCTGTCAGTCTCCTCCCTTTCCTGTGCAGCGAACAGCACTGGCATCTGGTCTACTTGTTTCTGCTCGAGCCTTCTGCTTATTTCAGCTGGTGAGAGGCCATCTTTCAAATTCTTTAGAGGAACAGCAGGCAATGACAGTGTTATGTAGGCGTGCTGATAGTATTCACAGAATGTGTTCGAGTGGGCGGTGTTTACAATTTCCTGTTCGTACAGTGGAACATCCAGCAAGGGCATCACTATGAGACCAATGATTTTGGTCCCTTGTATAGAGGTCATCCCTATCTTGGAGGTCAAATAATACACTGAAGTAATAGCATGGGGTTGAAACAAGTGTCCTTTGTAGAAACATCGTCCCTATCTCGGAGGGTCCCTTATTATCGGAGGTTCTACTGTAGTACACATAATACTGCATTTCTAACAACACCACTTGTTTTCCAGACTCTACTTTGTCCAGGGTTAGGAGTCAGGTTGATCCTCTAAAGGTCACCAGTCACCGAAAGTACTGGGAATGCATTGTTTTGATATAAAACTGACTTCCACTGTGCATGGCTGCTACTGCGCCCCACCATTAACGAGGCGAAATACAATCTCGAAGACTGCTGGCGAGGTTAGAGAACCTCTGTCGCTGACAAGTTGACATAAGCATTTGCCCTTTTCTCTGTGTATAGACATAATGTGTGGGGAAAACCTTATTTTGACAATGTGTGCATAAACACAATTGTGCCGTATAAAGCAGAGGTATTAGGAAATCCACGATAAAATGCTAGCTTTGTGTCCATACACAACAGTTAATAATACCTACTCTAACATCATTTTCTCAATTCCTCGGAAGGGTCGTTTCTGACAGGTTTCGTACGAGCAATTTCGAGCTCCATTAAAAGCATGAAAGAGATTTAGAGACCAGCAGTACCTATTCTCCTCGGCTCATTTCATGTATGTGAGGCCTCAACGTGGGGCTGAGCTCTATGTGTTGGAAATCGCTTCGATAGCGTGTTTGTTAGGGCCATCGACTATGAGTCGCTAGCTCCTCTGCTCTTCCTGAACAGGGAACGCGGTCGTCTGATACTCATCACCCCGAGGCAATCCTTGACAAAGTGCCTGCAGTTGTTGCTGATACGCCATAGTGGAGCTTGGTGTTTGTATTAAAAACCGCCACATGACTAGTTCCTAACATAGCCTTTCCTCTTTCGAATGTCCCTCAAGTTTCTTCCGACTATACTACGAAACCGTCCGATTCTTTCGTACTGCCCGAATACACTCGCATACACTTCTCTCTTTACACACGAGGGAATGTTTGTCAAGAGAGCAACAGTGCGGGACTCACCGAACTTGGTCTCAAACTCCATGGAGTATCGATGCTGAGTGGTGTTCCCTTCTCTTCTTGGGGTGTCAGTGTCAGGGATAAAGGGTTCTCTACCAAACACTTCACAACTGGCATACAAGTTCCTTGTAGCTGAGTGGAGTCACTTGGAGTTGCTCCTGAGCCAAATGTCTTGTCTTTCTCCAGTGCATTTGCTCCCACGGAGTTCAATGCTCCCCCAAACTCTATAGGTTCCGTTGACAGGCACGGGTTGGCAGTATTCAGTATGTCATCTTTCTGGGGACTTGCTACCACTCTCATATGGGTCTGGTCCATCTGGATGTGCTTTTGCTGAAGTGTCACTTCCATAATGTTGGTCGCCTCCTCCAGTTCTGCAGGGTCCTTGGTCCTGTTGGGTGAGCTCTCCTCCAATACGTGCCGAGCGTCCTCTTCTATTATCTTTAGGATGTCTCATGTGAGGCCCTGTTTCTACTTCCCTTCTTCTTCTTCCTCGGAAGTATATGACCTCCTGTCTTTTCGTTTCTGTGTCGCTGACAGATACCTGACCCCTCTAGTCTCCATCATTCTGGCTCTCAGGAAAGGAGTCTCAATGATCACTTCTCCTCCTTCCTTCTCTTCGGTTGCGTGTCTTGGACTCGGTCCCTTCTTTCGCTCCGTTACTGCAGGTCTGAGACTGTTTACTGTGGTTCCCGGTGCTGACTACAGATTCCTCTTCATCGAATTGGTTGCTGCTAGTCTCTGTTGTTTTCTCCTCTTCTGGTTGTTCACTGTGGGTCAACGGTTTCTTTTCCATTGCCAGATCAATGGATGCCTGAGATTCACCCTCTTCTTCCGACTGGTCACTGTGGGTCTCCTCTTTCGACTGGTCACTGTGGGACTCCTCTTTAAACTGGTCACTGTAGGACTTCTCTTTAAACTGGCCACTGTGGGACTCCTCTGTCTACTGGTCACTGTGGGTCTGTGGTTCTCCTCTCCAGCTTTGTCAAGTTTGACTTGAGACTGCAGGATTATCTTCTCTGTGGCTCCACTGTTGTTCTGAGTCTTGACTCCAGAATTCTCCTCTCGGGCTCCGCTGTTGTTCCGATTCTTGACTACTTCACCGACCCCTGGTCCCTTGCTTAGTTCTGCTGGCCTGAGTACGTTGGGGTGGTACACAATAATTCCAAGTTGCCAGCACACTCCCTCTGAGAGAAGTGGAGGTTCTCGCACGTCCATTATGATATACAGGAGTCCTCATTGAAGTGCCATCGAAGGAGAGGTCAAGGTCCATCCCCCATCAAGGGTAAACGACCTGTGGTCGTACGTCCTTGGGACTCGGTCAGGCTTCTTCAAGTCCTGCTTTCTTAGGCGAGTGACTGCAGCCACTCTTCTGAACAGCTCCCTCCGAAAATTGTGATATCTGCCCCACTGTCAACTATCCCCCTGAGCCGGCACTCCTTGAACTTCTAATACAACGTATTTCTTCATCCTCAAAGTCATCCAAAAGGCCATCCAGGACACTACTCGAAAGCCCCCTGTAGTGTTCTCGGCATCGGGAGCAAGGCAAGAAGTTTAAACATGACGCATTCTGGCAAGTGGTCCTCCCCCCAAGTTGGGTGTCCGTAGGCCAAACCATTTTCCTAGAGCCCTGCAGTCTCTGGCGAGATGGCCAAGACGATTGCATCTGTAGCAGCGTCTGGCGTCAACATCATCAACATTCGGTCCCGTCCTGTCCTACCACCAGACACAGGAGCTGGATCATCAGGGGTTGAGCGCCGCATCTCTAGTTTGGCCAGGTGTGACTTCTAGGCTCCAATCTCAGCGTCTGTCTTTGCTATCAGTTAATCATGCTCCCGCAACTGCTCACAACTCTCTCTCCACAAACTCTTGTACTTGTCTCTTTCTTCTGCTACTTTCACTTTCAGCTCACTCACTTCCTTCCGTAGTGTTGTATTCTCATCTGACAGCACTGCATTCTCGGCCGCGAAGGCTGTGTTCTCCTCTGTCGCGCTCCTCGTGTGGCCGCTGTTGTTGCCTCCACCCCCTAATTCTCCGTCTCCCTCTTCTCCACTGCCGCCTTCGTGGCCGGCTCCTCGTTCCTCGGTCTCCTCCGGTTGGCACACCAAGAACGCCCCCTCGTCGTCGCGTGACGAAATTATGACTCCTCTCTCCGAGTCTGTCAGCTCCACTTGTACATTCCTGGGTTCGCGTCCAGCCGCCTCGATCTTGCCACTCAGAACCTGTCACATGTCCTCCAACGACACCGAAACACTCAATCCCAGCTCTTTCACTAACATCCCCATCACCGCAGCCGTCAATCTCCCAGAGTTGAGTCTCTCTAGCTGATCCGAGTTATCTGGAGGATCGTCACTGAACGATAGTGGCGATGGGTCCAGGTCTCGGTGGACGGTGGGACCTCCAGATATTTCTGTTTCTCAGTCGTGGAGCCAACACTCGTGCGCATGCGCATGCTCAATATCAGAGTGTGTGTGTAGTGCGCATGACTGAAATGACAATATGGAAACCCTCGGCGAACTGCGCATGTGCGGTACCGCTAAATTGATGATAATGCCCTTCTTATTGCAAGTCAGTATAGGGATTTGGCAGAGGTCAGTTGTACTGAAAGTCGGCATCAAAAATATGAACTGGAACAAAAAAGTTGAGTTAGTTCGTAGCTTTTGGCGAAACAAAATAATAGAAGGAAGTAGTAGATCTGGACAGATGTTGAGAGCTGTTCT